CCTTGCCTTACTGCGTGGGTTCTCCTTATCCTTTCTCCGTCCACAAGGTCCATGGGGACCCTGAACAAGGAACTCGTCTCTTCGCACACCTCCCGGGCTCACACCCACCTCATCTATCAATCTTTTTTTTTGCTGCCGAATCAAGGATGCCCCACCTATCCCACCAAGAGCGAGAACCCGCCGAGGGGCAGGGGCGTGGCCGTGGTGGATGACGGGCGTGGGTCTCGATTTTCGGCTTCCACTTCCCACGCTTTTGCAAATCGACGTGGGTGTTGCTGCCCGTTTGTGAGGTAAAGGCGCGAGCTTTTTGCTTGTTGCGCTTGGTCGCTTGCCCACGCCTACGCCCACCTTTACCTTTGATCTGACGAATGTCCCAAGTACTTCGTACCCAGAAAGGACGCTCCGTCGATAAATACAAGCTCGTCTCCAGACCTCTCCTTCCCAGATGTTTAGGCTGTTTCTTCTTCCCCAGGCATACCGCTTGGTTCATGTCACACCCAACCTTTGAAGATGCCGTCATTCAATCCATTCTCAACCGTCACAGGCAAGCATGCCGCTTCGCTTTTTGAAATCAGGTATGCCCTCCTGCCCCACGTCTCCAAATCCCGCCGTTTCTTTCCTCTCTCCCTCTCCAATTTCTCTTTTCCGGCGGTGACTCTTTATTAGTCCCGTTTTGTGAAGGGCCTCCCCGCTGACGTCTGACACCCTACAGGCTAGACAATGATTTTATCGTATTTCGCGGAGGAGAGGACGAATCTGCCGGTCAGATCCTCAAGGGCGTCGTGGTGCTCTGCTTGCCCACGCCGCTCAAGATCGAAGATGTCCACCTGCGACTGACTGGCACCCACCGATTAACGTAGGAGGCCCTCCTTATTTCCGGTTCGATTTGCTGCAGATCAGTCAACTGACTTGCGCTCTCAATAGGTGGGATTACTCCAAAACCGCCGCTTCTGGCGTCTCCAGCCAAAAAGTCGACAAGACCACCACACTGCTCCAACATCGCTGGGCTCCGTTTGTCGGCGGCACTGGTGGCAAGAACACCATCTTGCCGGCCGGCAACTATGAGTGGCCCTTTGAGTACACACTGCCCGGCAACACCGCCGAGAGCGTCGAAGGCATCCCCGAAGCGAGCATCACCTACAAGCTCAAGGCCACCGTCGCCCGCGGCAAGCTCGCCTACGATCTGCACGCTTACAAGGCGCTGCGCATTATCCGCACCCTCGAACCCGCCGCCCTCGAGTTCCTCCACGCCATGAGCGTCGAGAACATCTGGCCGAACAAAGTCGACTACTCCATTATCATTCCGCAAAAGGCTGTCGTCTTCGGTGCCACAGTACCACTACAGATGCGATTTACACCCCTTCTCAAGGGCCTCGAAATGGGGGAGATTTCAGTCAAGATGTTGGAAATCCGAGAGTGCACACTGCAGGGTCCCACAGGCAACGTTTTCAAGGAACACAGGACAGAAAGAGAAGTCTCCAACTGGAAGTTCGACGTCGAGCGCGATGAGCACTGGCACGATACGATCGAAGACACCGGCCAAGAGGGGTGGATGGTTGAGAAGAAGCTGAACCTTCCCAAGAGACTGCGACAGTGTGTCCAGGATCTCAACCACAACGGTATCAAGGTCCGACACAAACTCAAGCTTGTTGTCGCCCTCAAGAACCCCGATGGTCACATTTCAGAGGTGAGCCGCTGTGACTTCGCTCTGTGATGGCTTCGCAAAACTGACAATTCCTAGCTCCGAGCCACTCTCCCCGTCTCCATCTTCATCTCTCCCAATATGCCCCTTGACGAGCATGGAGTTCTCGTCGACCAAGCTCCTGGCGCGCCTGCTCAGGCCGAAGTCACCCGTATCGCACCCCCCGGCTACGGCGAGCATGTCCTCGATCAACTCTACGAAGACGTCGACATGAGCGGCTTCCAGACCCCAGCTATCCAGTCTGGCTTTAGCAGTCCTTTCTACGCCCAATCGCGCGCCGGCTCATCAGAGAACCTTGCTTCTCTCGCCATGATGAACGGCCATGGTGTTGCTCCCGCGGCACTGTCGCATCGCCTGCAAAACGTATCCCTCGATCCCACGAACCGCAACACCTCGTTCAACTCATTGAACGCCATCACGGAGGACGTCGCAGCCCCGACATCTGTTCCCACGGGAGAGAACTCACAATCACAATCGGCAGCTTTGACCCGCCACAACAGTGCCGAGGAACATCCCAACTCGCACTCCTCAGGACGCAACTCGCCTGAGCACCTCGACTTCCCTGACATGGCTACCTTGAGCAAGGTGCCTAGTTACACAACGGCTGTCAAGACTCCCCTTCGGCGGGGCCCGAGTAGTGACGCGCTCCCCGACTACTTCTCTGCCATGAGCGCCCCAAACACGCCTCCTGCGAGCGAGGCTCCTGTTGCAGACCCGCTTGGCATGATCCCTGAGCATGAAGGTGGCGGCAGCGAGCCGACCACTCCGGGTGGTTCGCACCGTTCATGGCATCGCCCTCAGAGCATGAGCAACCTGCTCCAGGCTGTGCAGGGTGGCGGCGATGATCGCCGAATCCATCTCATCCAGGGACGGGAGAGAGTTTACTAAGGCTACTATGCGGAGATGATTCACACCATACTCACTTGATTATATTACGACTATAGAGAGGGCGGCAACCATTGTTTCGGGCATGGCATCGGCGTTGATGGGTGAAAATGGGATACTTGCCCATGGGACTGGTCTTTTGAGATTTTTACACGATATAGATTTGCGCCTTGGAGGCATCAGGACTCATCGGCTGCTTGGACACACACAAAGTATAGGGATCGGTCTAATTGTTCGTGGGATCTACCACTGGGGCGATACTGGGAAAGGCAAACAGGGATGTACGATATACCCACCGCTTAGAGCGCGGCGTGTCGATTGCGAGATACCAAAGATGACAAAAAAAAGTCAATACTCGATTTTCTCAATACATTGCGCAAAGCTGCAGAGTGAAGTGATCCAAATGGTTACGCGGGGTACAGTTACCACGACGACGGCAACATCTACCATTCCTTGACTGGTTGACCGCTGCCTACACCGGATCCCGACGATGGAGCGCCCTTGACATATTCAACGGAGGACACGCTCGTAATGCCGAGAGTGTGGTGGTGGCGGCCACGGCGTTGTGGGCGGTCTTCCGGTTCGGCGGCGGTGGGTGTGGCTGGCCTCCCGGCCGATGTCGGACGCCCCGATAAGAGAGAAGTTTGAAATGGAGGGGGAGGGGTTACAGCCAACCACCCAACTTAGCCTAAAGCGAACATGCCGAGGGGTCACCGGGTATCACGTTGTTCATATCGGGGGTGCTGGGTGTACAATTTTACCTCTTTCGGTACCTGGTTCCCAGGTGTCTGGATGCTTTTGGGGGGAGGTAAAGTTTCAGGGTTGTTGTGGCTGTGGCGCGGTGAGACCGAGGTGGGATGCTGGATGTGGTGACGATGGCATCATCTTTTCATAGTACCGAAGTCATGGCTTGACGTGATGGCAGTAAGTTGTCAGGTAGATATCCGAGAGCGTGGGGGAGTGCAGGAAGCATATGGATAGCGCGAGGCATACGGAACCTCTTTGGCAAACATGAGTTCACTAGGGATCTAGACAGGGCCTTGTTCCATTGCTGAAACTGACCATGTTGGTAATGAAGGCTGTGGCATGTCGATGCGTTTGGTGAGATTCTAATGCTCCTAGATACCTAGCAGTCATCTTCTGCTACCTGTATCGTGAGCCGGTTGTCTGCTCTTCTGATAATACAAACAGGCGATGGCTTAGTTAGTATCGGCAGAACGGAGGATGATAACACAACCACAAGGAATGGACTTCGACGAGAAAAACCCTGGCATCTGAACCCTCTCTTGCGTTGCACTCAGACGACCGAACCAATGGGCGTCATCATTTGAACCCTTTGACGTCTGCCCAATGCCAACCTGTCGGGTATGCGCACCTCAGGTGGTGGCCCTGTTTGATCATGTCATCGCGGCCGTCACCTGCGGCATCAACGTTGGCTGGACGGAAAGAGGGAAAGCTTATTTGCGTCTAGGAGGGATATCCTGGTGGTGTGGAATTTGCTGTGAAGTCGAGACGCGTGTTAGTCGTTACGTGGGATTTGTGCGTATGTGCTAACGTGAGACGATAGTAGCGAGACAGCAGGGCATTCGTCTCATCTCAGTTAGCGCGATCGTGCGCTGGGAAACTAAGGGACTTGTTGACGTCATAAAAAGCCCCCAAATCACTCATGGGCCTCCCGTCTAGCGGATGTGACGATGCAAGACGGACACCTACTATGCAGCAAGGTGGCTTTCTACCCCCGGACCAGCTGAGAAGGGGGAGCACTCGAGGAGTTCAGCGTGGTAAGGTAGGGTCGACGAGGTGTCTTGGTGGCACCACAGCCGTGACGGTGTCGACTGTCAGCTCAATATGGAACTCAGCTGAAGGCAGGAGTAGCAAAGGAAGTGAGAGGATTTGTCCCTTGGGAAGGAAAATGTCGAGATCGTCACAGGGGGTGATCCAGACCGACCCCACTCTGGACAACCCTTTGGGGCCATGTAATGATTTGGGGCCAGCAAGAGGGTCGTGCTTGTGTGCGACAAGCAAATCTCGGTGCAGCACTGCAGGCGCAGTCCCAGCCAGGGGCCGCTAAGACCAGGAAGATTGCGCTGGCGGCTTGGTGGAGAACGTCATTCGGCCTGGTCTTGGTGCAGGAGCTTGGGCGGGTTTTAATTACCAGCTGTCACTGGCGGCGGCGGCGGCGGGGAATGGGCGATCGAGGAGAGGGACGGGACACATGTAATGTCTGTCAAATATAACCTCTTTTGCCCTTTTTCCCTTTCCATATGGTTCACTGCATTTGTTCTCCCATCTTGCTAGACAACCTTGGAAGAACGTTCCCAAGAAACGACCCACGACACACCGTCGACACATCACCTAAAAGTATTCACGATACTCCTCATTCGAGCGCAACCCGATCTTGCACATCACGACCATGGCCGACACCAAGGACCTCCCCCAGAGGTCGGGGACCATCATGACCAACAACTCTGTCCTTAGCGACGATGCTGTTCCCGAAGTCGATCCCACCAGCGTACGTGAATCAGTCATTTTGCTCAGCTTCAAATAGTCGAGGCGTTGTAGTATGGTCCATTTGGCGCCCAATACCAAACGCCTCTGAGCTCTACAAAAACCACCTAGACCTTCACAATGGAATATACTAACAGCTACATGTAGACCGCTGGTCTCCTCGCGGAGCGACTCCAAGCATGGAAACATTCTGTTGGATACCTTGAGGACTATATCGGAGCCGTCGAGAAGATCCACAAGGCCCAGTCCAAGGAGTACGAAAAGGCTCTCAAGACCATCTCCCATCCCTTGAAGGAGGGCCACCACTTCGACCAGAGCCTCGGCGGTATCGCAGCCTACTTCGAGAACATGCGCTCCAACACTCAGGCGATTATTAACACCAATCTCGAGACGGAGAAGACCATCAAGGGCTCCATCCTCCCGGTCCTCGAACGCCTGCACAAGGAGATCAAGCACAAGGGCAAGGAGCTGGCACACGGTGCCCAGAAGGGTGCCAAGGAGGTCGAGAAGGCTCGCAACACCACGCAGAAGCACATTGAGCTTCTCGGCTCCCAGACCGCCTCCTTCGAGTCCGCTGGCGGCAAGATGCACGGAACTGACGATCCTTACGTCGTCAACCGTGGAGTCCTTCACAGATTGCACAAGCAGGTTCTCGAGGAGAACAACAACCGCAACGACCTGATTGCTGTTCAGAACAACTTCAAGGATTTCGAGGCACATGTTATCGAAGTTGTTCAGCAGGCGATGGAGCAATTCATCCAGCTGACCGGTGGCCAGGCCGAGAAGACTCGCGCTCTCTACTCTGACATGCTGGGTGCTATCCAGAGAGTCCCGGGTGATTTCGAGTGGAACGGCTTCGTGACCCGTAGCGGCGATCGCTTGGTCAACCCCAATGACCCCCCGCGCTCGGTCGAGGCCATCAACTTCCCCAACATGGACCACACCTCTGTGAAGCCTCTCATTGAGGGTTCCCTGGAACGCAAGTCGCGTAACAAGCTTTCCTGGGGCTACTCTACCGGCTACTACGTTGTTACCCCGACCAAGTTCTTGCACGAGTTCAAGGACAATGATAACACTCGCTCTGACCCCAAGCCAGAGCTTTCCATCTATCTGCCAGACGCTGTTATTGGGCTTCCCAACGGAAACAAGTTCAACGTCAAGGGCAAGGATAAGAGCAAGTCTATTAGCTCGAAGCTCACTGGATCGTCCGAGTTGGCTTTCCAGGCCCACACCCCCGATGAGGCGCAAAAGTGGTTCGAGGTTATCAAGAACGTCGCGGGAGCCACCGGGCCTGCGGAGCCCAACTCCACGCCTACCTCGCCCGTCGTTGCCCAGGACGAGAAGATGCCTTCCATCGCACCAGCCGCAACCACCCAGTCCGGCCACTCGGCACAAGAGGCCGGTGTTACTGGTCACGACCCTACCGCGAGCCCAGAGCTCATGAGCCCGGTCGACGGCCCATCCTCCAGCGCGGCGGCTGCACCCGCGGCTGCTCCAGCTGCAACAGCGCCTGTTGACGAGAAGAAGATCTAAGGATTCGCACGACACCCTCAGCTTTTGAGATCCCTACACTTGCAGACCTAGTCCGATACCTCGAGCAGAGTCCTTTCGACAGCCCTATTTTCCTCAATAAAGTGAGGCGACTGCTAAGGGCGACTCATCGACTTGCGCACCACTGGTTGCCTTGTTGTTTAGTCTTCTAGGGCGGAATCGCACCTCATATGACTTCGACTTGACCACACCACTACACCTGATTGGTTACATCACTTCTGCGCAACATCACAGCCTTACATCCCCGTTGCTTTTTTTCGGCCCTTTCCAGCACACGCGCTTGGAGGATACCATTGTGATTTATGGTTATATAATATAGCGAGCCCTAATCAAACAACAATTATGATCGTTGACTCTTGTCCGATTCCGAGTTCATTGACAGTCACCTTGATCGATTCTGATTCCTAACCACAATGACTAGAAGATCGAGTTGGAGCTGGCCAGTAGGATGTCTGCCTTGGCGCAGGCTGTGCCTCACCACCCTCTTCCACTCCGAGACAAGGCGCCCATACCGCCATCGATACCGCGTGGATGTCTGCACCTCATCGTGGAGCCCTATTTATAAGTGCAGAACGCTCCCGCGTCTTAGGCTGTCGACACCGGCGACATATTTGATTCAGTATTTGGCGCACACCTCGCTGTGGTCGTCTGCCGAGGAATGCGGCCAGCGTATTGAGTCAACGGTACAACTGAAGAAAAAGCGCTCACCATACTTATCGGTAGGTAGTTCAGCCACCAAGCTGTCCAAAAAAAAAAAAAAACGAAGACTCTTTGCACTTTTGCGCAAGGGGGAATCTGCGGAGTGTAGGCAAACGTCGCACACCTTCGCTGAAAGTTCGGTGAAGGTCTGCTCATGGGGTGGTGTGGCACAAGACAGGACACCCCTTACGTTGCGGGCTTAGCCTTCTCCCCCTCCACCACCTTGCTCCCTTGGAGCTGCGCGCCGCTTAGAGAAAGGCAGACTTACGCCCCGTCCCGTCATCATGATTCTCCACGATGGCCATGCTATCGGTCATAGAATGTGTTGTCTTTCTTGCCAGGGGGGAATGAAGACTCTCCGAAGGGCAAGTTGCACCTTGATGCACCTACGGTACAAGGTGCGGAAGTCCTGGGAACCGGAACAAGTGTCCGCTTTCTTCAAGGCAGAGGTGAACGAGGGAAAGAAGCGTTCTAGTGCCTGTCCGTCAGCCCTGGACAAGAAACGCCGATGGCGATGTCCCTACACTGCGATTATAGTATCCTACGAAAGGCAGCAGCCAGCCTTATCCCATCGTGACCTGTCTATATACAGCCTGTATAGCTATCTTCCCATTCCCTCGGGGCGAAAGCACTACCGTCTATCAAAAACATCCTGGAATCGTCCATCCTATCATACTTCAATGAAGCTCACCGCTTGGCCTCTCATCGCGGTCTCTCCAGCCCTGATCTTCCTCCTCCAATGACTCCGTAGTAGCGCCCGCCCTTTTCTATCACAAGACTCTCTATCCCGCTTCGTTCCTCATCCCCAGAGTTTCGTCCAAACCAACGACAATGACGAAAGCTTGGAAAGAGCACAAGGACGTTATCGCGAGGCTCTACATCAAGGAAAATCGTACCCTGGATGAGGTCCGGGAGATTATGCAGCAGGACTACAACTTCAAGGCCTCGTCAGTCTGACCAGTTTTCTTTTCCCTCTTTTCTTTCCAAGCCGGTTGGATACATCTTGAACTTTCTCGGACCCTACGGAACCCCTCCTTTCTCGGCAACCCATAGGGCGGAAGTTGGCTCTGAAACGATGACTACTTCACCTCTCCATCCTGGCCGTCGAGTCCTGTTTCCATGGCACTTTACCCATGGGGGATGACAGAGATCCTCAAATAGCCCTTACAACATCGTCCAGTCGAATACAAGGAATAGACACCAGAAGCAAAACTTGCTAACATCTCTAACCCCAACCACCAGGACAAGATCATACCGCCAGCACTTTGACCAGTGGGACCTGTCAAAGTATAACTGCAAGAAGCGTACCGCCCGCCGTCAGAGCCGCGACTACCAGCAGTACCCCGAACAGCAGCAGTACACCCCTTCCGCTGCTGCTGCTGCTGCCGCTGCCGTCGTCATCGTCCAGGAGACTTACCCAATGAGCCCGCAGAGCTACGGCAGTAGCAGCGGCAGCATGAGCCCCGAGTCCGAGATGGACAACGGCGGCGGTAGGCTTGACGACATGGACGTCGGCCAGTCGTATGGAGGCCATCAGTACACGTACGCGGGTCAGAGTCAGGGCCAGCCTGTCTTGCATCAACAGTATACCCAGCAGCAGCAACATCATCACCAGCAGCTGGAGCAGCACCATCGACAGCGTCAGTCCTGGGATAACCAGGTGCCGCGGAGCATATCCTCGCCGTGGGATCAGGCTGCTCTCCCCAGCCCTCCCGCGGATCTGAGCGGAGACTCGTTCTTCCAGATGTCTGGGACGGAGGCGCTATCTGCGCAGGGCAGTCATCGTCCGCAGGCTTATTCAACCGTGATTCATCCCGAGCAGTATCGTCAGCAGCAACAGCAGCAGCACTACCACCGACAGCAGTCGGCTGCGGATCCCCGAATGATGCCGACGCGCCTTTTGGCTCCGGCTCCGCAGCGTCCGGTGAGGCCGGAGCGTCGGGAGTCTGTCCCATATCAGGGTGCTATACACTGTGGGTTCCATCGTTCCGGACTATAGGGGCGGAAGAAGGCTACCTTTACCGTGATCTACCCCTTTTCTTCTCGCTTGCGCTCTCCTCTGTTGCACCTCTCCCCACCCTCTCTAGGCTCTTGTTTCCACCGGCTTGGATTATTCTGACACTGCTTTGTAATGTTTATTTCCTATCAGCAAGATTAAATCGACAAAAAGAAGGAAAACACGGTGGTTTGGCTTATTTGGCTTTCAACTTGACTCGGCCAGAATGTCTCTCATAATGTTACTGCACATTCCTTCAATCTCTCGAAACGAAAACAAAAAGAAACGGCCTGCGAGGGAGGTTTATGTTTGAAAGCTGGTCTTTGATGGAAATAAAGGTTGGGATTTTTTTGCAGTTTTGATGGATCACAGGACACGAGAACTTGGCAAAAACCACCTTTCCCATCCCCCCCCCCCTTCCCTTGGCCGTTTCCCATTTTGACTTGATATGTCTTGCTCTTTTGGACTTGAAGTGCTTTAATTGTAGAATGTAGTTGTATCGTGTTTACACCTGTCGTTTTTTTTGATTGCTTTGCTCGCCTTGTGTTTTCGTACCATGTGATAGAAAAGACAGAAAACGAAACATTGACCTTTGGAATCCTCGTTCGCCTCTCTTGACGGTGGTATATAGCCCCCATTCGGATGATTGAATTCCTTTTTTTTGAACACCAAGGACCTATTCCTGAATGATAGACACCATTCCCAAATCATCCTCGTCTACATGAAATCGTCCTCGCTAAAGGGCTCGCTGCTGTGGTTGGACCTCAAATTCATCTTGGCCGCGCCCTCCGCCAACCCGTACGGGTCGTGAACGTGCTGCTTCCCACCGCCGCCTTCTTCTCCATCACCAGCCGGCGCCGAATTAGACCGCACTTGCACTTTGACCTCCCCCTGGATCCCATCCACGCGAATCGTAGACACCGTCGTCCCGCCAGGGGGCGGCCGCAAGTTGGGCGCGGGCGCGAGGTTGACGAGCTCGCGGAAGAAGTTGTTTGCGGCCTCGCAGCCGTCGAGGAGCCACTTGAGGCAGATTGTGACGCGCTCTTTGGCGAACGGGTTGTGGTCGTCGTAGGCGCAGCAGTTTAGGAGGGGCACGATGCCGTTGTGGTTCACCATTTGGGTTTGCACGTCTGGGTTCCCGGGGGTGGAGTGGCCGGGGGGCGGTTGGAGGAGGGTGGCGAGGATGGTGAAGATCTGGCCCTTGATGCCGGACCAGGGGTATTTGTGGGCTGGGTCGGAGAGGGAGGGCGGGGGAGGGGAGGGGGGGAGGGAGTCGGTGGTTGAGTAGGGGCGTTCGATGATGGGGGTGCCGCCGCCGGGTTGTTGCGAGGAGGACTGGGAGTGTTGGTCTGACGGGGACGGTGCTGTTGCGGCGGGAGGGGGAGGTCTGTTGCGGGAGGGGACGGCGTCGACGAGGGGTTTCTTGGGGACGCCTGCCTCGAGGCCGTTGAGGAGGGTGATGAGGTCGTAGACGGCCTCCCACTCGATGAGCTTCTTCCTCGACTCGGCGATCTCGGAGGCGGTCGTCAGGAAGTCGAGGTACTGCGCCAGGCCGTCCTTGGCGCGCTCCATGTCCCAGGTGTCGACGGGGAACTCGGCCGGGTCGACGTTGTCCTCGCGGATCTGGGCCTGGAGGTGCATGAGGGCGACGCACTCGGGGACGATGCGGCTGCGGAAGAAGCTGAAGAAGAACATGACGAGCTTGACGTCGCGCTCCTGGTCCTTCTTGTCCTGCGGCGGGTTGCCGATGCGGCTGCGGAAGATGTGGTTGACGAGGCGGAGGAGGACGGTCTGGGCGGGGGAGATGATGTCCTTTGGTATGCGGAGCGAGTTCCAGGCGTAGGGGACGAGGGCCGAGTGGTGGAGGGCCTCGATGAGCTGCGAGGTGATTTGGAAGATGAGGGACTGCTCGTCCTTTTCCCAGACGGCGATGAAGACGAGCATCTCGCGGAGGAGGGACTTGCCGCAGTCGAGGGCGAGGAACATGCGGCAGCGCGTCTTTTGGAGGTTCTCGCCCGCGCGGGTGAGTCCCGTCCCCGCCGAGTCGAGGATGCAGGACTTGACTATCATGTGGAGGGCCTCGATCTGCTTCGGGTCGAGGATGTTGGGGATCTCGGTCAGGAGGCCCGTCAGGGGGCCCTCGCCGTACGACTCGTCGTCGTCAATGTCCTCGTCGTCCATCATGTCGTCGTAGCCCTCGGCGTACTCCTCCGCGGAGCCTTCTTCCGGCCCGAGGTCCTGTTCGGACTCGTCGACCTCGACGACCTCGTGCTCCTCGGTGCGCATGACGGGCGTGTAGCGGTTGAGGAGGTTGCTCTTGCAGTGCTCCGTCCTCGTCTTGGCGAACTCGACGTTGGGCATGGCGACCGCCCAGCCGTCGTAGTTTACGTCGCGCGCGCGCATCCACCAGGTGTCGATCTCGCGGGATACGCGGCAGTAGGCGCGGTCCTGCTCGAACTTGTCCTCGATGTCGGGGTCCCACCGCGGGTTGACCTTTTCGCCCTCCTCGTAGTTGTCGGCGCGGACCTTGACCTGGCCCTCGGGGAACCAGTTCCACGCCAGGGGCGCGATGGGCGCGAGGACGCCCGGGGGGTTGTGCGACTTGTTCTGGGAGTAGTCTGTGAGGAGTCTGCGGGCGGTCTCGCACATGCGCGAGTTGCGCTCCAGCCAGTGCTGGATCTCCGTTTTGGCGATGTCGACGCGGAAGCCGGAGCCGTCGCCCATGCCCTCTTGCGGGTCGTCGAGCTGCGCGTCCTCGTCAAAGAGTACGTCGTACCAGAACGACATCTTGTTGCGGTCGTTCTTGGCGGTCCAGTTGTGGGCTTGTTGAAGGGACGTGACCAGGAGCTTCTTGTCTGTGGATCGTGAGCGGCGATTCTTCACCTGAAGGCCATGGGGGACTTACACATGTCGGTGATCTCATTCAGCTTGGCCCTCGAAGACTCGTCCAAGATCTCGCCATCGTAGCCCTTGCTCGTGACGTTCACACAGAGGATGATGGTCTGATAAACCATCTGGTCAAAGTGAACCGCGGCACAGATGTCCTGGGGTACCTCTGGTTCTGATGTGACCAGCAGGTTTCTCGCAATGTGCATGAGCTTGTTCAAGATGGAGAGGTCGTCCTTGAGACTGTGGTGGTTCTTCACAATGAGAGCAGTGCTCTCCTGAGGGGTCACACCCTTCTCCGGATCGTTGAGGCTCGACAGCGGGCCAACTGAGCGTGTGGTGAGACTGGGGATGGCGGCGCCAAAGATCTTGGTCAACCAGATCCATATCTCGACATTTCTTGACAGCGTTTCCCTGGTTCTTGTTAGGAAAATGAGATGGTACGAAACTACAGTAAGTCATGGCGTTGAGGGCACCTACCTAACGTGCTTGAAGGTGTGAGTCTTCTCGAGGGTTTTGGCAATCATTGATGAGACCCGTGCGGCGGTCTGAGGGCCCATGGGCGGGATGGTGTAGTGGCCCTCAAGGCAGATGAGGGCGGCCGAAAAGCAACGCTCCTCGATGGTCTCATAGCCCGGGGTGCCATCCTCGAGGTCGAGGTCCGGCAGGGACGGCGGCGGTGTGGCCGCCATGGTGTTGTAGGTCGATGAGTGATGGAGAGCACTCGTGACGTTGGAGATTGGGGTATTTCAAACTTGAAGCATAGAGGTAAAGACCGGCCGGAGAGGCGTTTAGCCTGCCGAGGGGGTATTTGCTAGATCAGTGGGAAAACAGGCCGTGGGTGAAGATTACTGAAATACATGCACAGTTTAAGAATATTCTCTTGAAGTTTTTGGAGATGGAGTACCTCCAAGGTGGCGGCCCCGGGATGCTGGATTGTCACTGTGGAAAATTTCCGCCGTCCGCACCGAAAGTAAGTATCTCTGCACTACAAATTGGTAAGCAGATACACACAGACCAACTGCCATTTTGAGGTTCCAACAGCAAGTGTGAGTGCTCTTGTGATCTTTAAGTGACCTTTAACTACCTATATGTATGAAGGATTCACTCTAGAACTCCCGTAATCGTCCTGCACAGATAATATTCTACAAAAGATGTGCAAGAATTTCACTCTCGATTCGGCATCAGGGATTTACGCATCATGTCTAGGCCTTCCCACATTATGAGTCGGGATACAACTGCTGTTCTGGGCTGAGAGCCCTGTGAAATTCCGGGCTGAGGCAAGGTCGGTACCCAAGACCCCTCCATCGAACCCCCTAAATCGGCCAATGGCAAGGGTGACAGACACCGTAGACCCCTCTATCGGCCGTGTGCGACTTGGGCCCCCGACGTCCGCCCCTCGGCGGGGTAATTTCGCTGTGGTGTCTGTTCTTCGACGCGAATTTGGGCCACTTGTGCGACAAGTCACAGCTTGACTCACTCCGAATACCATCGTCTCACGACCTCTCGATACCACCCCCGACGCCGTGAGTCTTCCACAACCTCGCTTCAACGAATACCACCGCATTTTTACTTCGATCGCAATCTTCACAACACTCGTAACATATCCAAAATGGCGGAAGGCACAACGGCGCAGGAGAGGTTCGCCCTCATCCAGGAGAACTTGGCCGAGGTCATGAACCCCGAGATCATCGAGAAGATCTTGGCCGAGGGACGCAACCCCAAGATCTACTGGGGTAAGAAGCGTCTCAATTACACTGCTGATACTCTTCGTCGGCGCATTGGCTGACAATTGGCTCCTTTCAACCTACAGGAACCGCGACAACGGGCAGACCTCACTGCGGCTACTTCGTCCCGGCCATCAAGCTGGCGCAGTTCCTCGCCGCCGGCTGCGAAATGACTGTCCTTCTCGCCGATATCCACGGCTTCCTCGACAACCTCAAGGCCCCCATCGAGCTCGTCGAGCAGCGCGCCAAGTTCTACAAGTTCGCCATTACAAACATTCTCAACGCTGTCGGCGTCTCCACGGAGAAGCTCAAGTTCGTCCTCGGCAGCTCCTACCAGAAGAGCCCCGAGTACATCATGGATGTCTACAAGATGAGCTCGCTCATTAGCGAGAGAGATGCGAAGAAGGCTGGTGCCGAGGTCGTGAAGCAGTCTGACGTGAGGATACCTGCAAAATTTGGGTGCTTGGACTGGGGCTGACAATGGTGACAGAACGCCCCCATGAGTGGTCTGCTGTACCCCGTCCTTCAGGTCTGCGACGAGCAGCACCTTGGTGTCGATGCTCAGTTCGGAGGTATGCATTGACTCTCGTATCTCGAAGGAGTGCTCAGGCTGACATTTTGCAGGCATGGATCAAAGAAAGTTGTTCGCTGCGGCCACCGAATGGTTGCCCAAGGTCGGATACCAAGTGCGCGCGCATCTGTTGAACCCCATGGTGCCGGGTCTGAACGGTGGAAAGATGAGCGCGAGTGATCCTGGTAAGATTATTGCCACCGCCTTTCGGAAATAAATGCTGAACATGGCTTCACAGACAGCAAGATCGACCTTCTCGATGCCCCCGAGGTTGTCCAGAAGAAGCTCCGCAAGGCCGAGTGTGTGCCCAAGGTTGCTGAGGGCAACGGTGTCCTGTCCTTTGTCGAGTATGTCCTGCTGCCCGCCGCTTCGCTGAAGGGCAAGAAGGAGTTCCGCGTCGAGCGTGAGCGCGACGGCCTCGAGACCCTGGTTTACACCGATATCAAGCAAATGCACGAGGATTACAAGAATGACGTCGTAAGTAACACACGAAACGAGTCGCGATATACAGAACAAGCTAACACTATGTTTAGTTGACGCCCCAGCTGCTCAAGCCCGCCGTGACCAAGGCCCTGAACGAACTCCTGGCACCCATCCAGCAAGCCTTCCAGGCCTCCGAGGAGTGGAAGCAGGTCACAGAGAGGGCCTACCCTCCGGTTGAAGACGACAAGAAGAAGAAGAAGAAGCAGCCCAAGGACAAGGGCTCCCGCTACCCCGGCGGCGGCAAGGGTCCCGCCGCGCAGGACGGCGCCGCCAAGGAGACGGAGCTGCCGGTGCGCCCTGCCGAGGGCCAGTGATTGTTTTGTTTCTTGCATAAGAAAGCGTTTTTATCTGTACGTGCTACTACGGAATGGGTCGGAGTTCGGATGAAGACCAGCAAAAAGAAAGTCTAGAGAAAGACAGCTAGATACCTCAGATGAAAAAAAGAGCATTTGAAAGAGAGAGCGGCCCCTGAACTTTTGCTCCTGTCTCGTCGCCCTTCCTCCTTGCCCCTACCCCTTGGCACCAGCCTTGTGTCCTTATTTCTTCAACAACGGGCCGATGATCAAGGGATAGGGGCTATTGATTCCTTGACTCGACCATGAAGTCTCTGGTGTACATCAAGGTTCCGATCATTCGAATCCATCGGTTCATTGCTTTTGCAACACGTGGCGAGGACGGCGAGAACATGTGGCGGGGTGTTGACATAGCGGGATGCCCGGGACGACGCAATGGCGGGGCACTGAAGAAACGGCAGCATTCGAGTGCGGTGGATGGCGGGGTAAATTTCGGCGGGGTCGAAAAAAGATGTCAGACTCCGACCGCCCAGCAAGCTTTCGCGCCGATCTACGTCTTTCAACATTCTCTTTTCTCTAGCTTCGTGATTTTATTTTCCTTGCTTTAACTAAGATACCCTCCATTTTCCCACGATCAATCCATATAAACGACACAATGGCCGACCTCCCCACCACCTTTGACCGTAAGCTTCACCCACGCTCTCCTTCCTCCCTCCCGATTCGGCCCAAAGCCTCCAACTACGACCAAAAAGCGCAATGCCTTTCGACATGACTGACATCCTACTTCCCAACAGGCCCCGTCCACATCGCCGTCATCGGCGGCACCGGCCTCGGAAAGCTCGAAGGCTACACCCCCGTCGCCCAGCTGACGCCCACGACCCCCTGGGGCAAGCCCTCCTCCCCGATCAGCATCCTCGAGCACAACGGCGTCCCCATCGCCTTCCTCGCCCGCCACGGCCTGCACCACCAGTTCGCGCCCCACGAGGTGCCCGCCCGCGCAAACATCGCCGCCCTGCGCTCCATCGGCGTCCGCTGCGTCATCGCCTTCTCCGCCGTCGGCTCCCTGCGCGAGGAGATCAAGCCCATGGACTTTGTCGTCCCGGACCAGGTCATTGACCGTACCAAGGGCGTGCGCCCATTCACCTTCTTCGAGGGCGGCGTTGTGGGCCACGTTGGCTTCGCGGATCCGTTTGATAAGGGGCTCGCGGAGGTCGTCAAGAAGTGCGCGGCGCATATGCAGGGCGAGGGCGTCGTTTTGCACGAGAAGGGCACCATTATCTGCATGGGTGAGTTCCTTCCTCGCCCGACACGAATCTTGGAAGAAACAGAGAGAGGGGCAAAACATTACTAACGAGACGAAAACAACAGAGGGCCCCCAGTTTTCCACCCGCGCCGAGTCGCACATGTACCGCTCCTGGGGCGGCAGCGTCATCAACATGTCGGCCCTCCCCGAGGCCAAGCTCGCCCGCGAGGCCGAGATGGCCTACCAGATGATCTGCATGGCGACCGACTACGACTGCTGGCACTCGTTCGAGGACGTCGACGTCGCCATGGTCATGAAGTACATGGCCGCCAACAGCGAGAACGCCAAGCGCCTTGTCGGCGGCGTCCTCGACGAGCTGTCCAAGCAGGAGAGCGGCGACCTCGTCCTCGCCAAGCAGTGGGAGGGCGCATCCCAGGGCGCCGTCAAGTTCATGACCAAGCCCGAGGGCCGCAGCCCCGAGGCCATGAAGAATGTCGAGTTCTTGTTCCCTGGGTTCTGGAACTAGATGTGAATTCACAGAACCTTTGTTGCATTTTTTGTAGTCTGGTTCTCGGTACCAGGCACACGACCAAGGATTGGTATACGTGCAGGAATATAAGCGTAAGCGTATATAGAAGCAATGGTGAAAATGGCGTGGGTAGATAGACTTGTACCTGAGCATCAACTGTTCAGGGCGGTAGCGAATGTAGTCACCAGGATAGAGACTCTGTGCAAAATGGAAAGTACGATACTAATGATGTTAACACTGTGGTCAAGAATTTTGGTCTCATGCACTCTCCTCTGTGCTACAATTGTTCCTATCGCGTGGTCCAACGCCTCGAAACGCCGGTTCTAAACCTCCTCAAACCTACAAGAAAAACGTCTACCCAAGAAACCACCTCGCCATGTACCAATTCACATCAAAAGATATAATGCCCGAACACCCTTCTCCGCCGCCGCGATGTGCCAGGGACGTATATCCGTCCCCCTATCTACAACCCCCCTCGCGCGAGCTAGGGTTCCAAGACCCCTAAAGTAGGTGAGCATCTCCCGCATGAGAGGCTCGTACATGCGCGGATTGTTATCCGCATGTACAATGTTGACCTCTAGGACAACAGGCGGATCTTCGAGCTTTGTGCCTCCGCGTTTGACGAGATAACCGCTGATAAGGGCGGGGTTCAGCTCGCCTAACGAAGAAGAGTTGCTCAGTCGATGCGCTAGAACGGCGCCCCAGGTTTGGTCTGTAACGTCGAGGAGAATGGCGTCCCCTTCGACAGGATCGGCATTACCGTCGCCTGGTGTTCCGCCCGGAGTTGCGGCGCTTGTTGTGTTTTCTTTCATGGGCGTGGCCGGCGTACCACTCTGCTCTGGCGAGACTATCGATGCCTGGGGAGTAGACACGGGCGTCGTATAGAAGGCCGAGGATGTTGTTGCCGGGACTTTTATTGCAGGCGGAACCAACTGCATGGATGGATCCGTATCGACCGAAATCAGGGTCAGGCTGACTGTTGCTACCGACTCCGTCTGAGCTAGACCCTGCCAGAACCCAATCTCTTGCGCATCCATGAAGCCGCACTTGGAGATGATGACTCGCCAGTGGACTTTCCACTTAGAAATCAAGTCATGGGTAGTTTCCCATATCTCGTGGTAGACGTCATTGAGCGATGTAGATAGCGCCTTGCCCTTGCGACCAAGGTTGTAAGATGCCGTCATCTGCTGGCATCCCCTGTTGTCAGTCCATGCCGCGGTAATCCATCTCTCGTCGATGCTCTGGGCGTAAGCGATGTGAATGCAAGTGTTCTCATGCATCAACGATGACGAAGACGGATTAGAAAGCTTGAAGTCGATGCCTCTAGGTAGCGACTGTTCAAGCATAATGGCCGGTGATGGCATCGGCCCGCCAAACAGCGTACAGCGGTCATACGTTTCTATCGCCAATTTGATCGCATCGCCAGGGGTCGGTTCTACTATTCCCGTAGAAGAAGTGAGAAAGTCCAGGGGCACGAGTTGCAAAACCAATTCGTTGACTGGAGTCTGCCGCTTGTCCGTCAAAGTCCTTTTGTGCATCTCAAAGAGCCGTTTGAAAGCAGTGCAAGCCTCCACAATAGACCCAGGATGATCCGGAGGATAGACAAAGTATATCACATAGTTCTTTTCCGAAGCGTTGGCCGAAATGAGCCCCTGATTGAGTGCCTCCATGCGGTCATCCAGGCCGGCGACAATGTGAGGACTGACGGTTCCTGGTGAAGTGGCGATTTTGTCTACCTCATAGGGTAGAAGGCCATCAGCCACCTTGGAACTGGTTGCAAGGCGTTCGAAAGAGCCCAACTTGAGAAGCTCGTAAACGTTTCGCATGCGGTCCAGGAAGGCGGCGGCAACGTCTGACATTCCATCCCAATGGGGGAAGACACAAACAACATTGACGTCCTTTGTGCCTTGAGCAGGACCCAAACCCAAGCTTTCCCAAAACTGAACGCTCGCCGGCAAGACCGATAGTCTGGCTTCTGCACGTCGAAGTTCCATGTGAGGAGCTGGGATTTGGAAGAGATTGTTTGGCTTTGGCGGTTCTGTGTTATTATCCCGCGGATTGACCGGCCTCGGATGAAGTCTATTCGGTGGGCCAAGCAGGGGCACGTCAGGAATCTCGACCACACCTTTGAAGTTGCATGTGTTGAAGTCTCCCAGACAAGCGGGAATCACCTCGCGCAAAGCTTGCAAAGCAGTCCGGCCAAGGGAGGATAATTGGCGCCGGGTCTCCGGTATGATTGCCGAGTTCAACGTGTTCGCATGCGCATCGCGTATTCTCAAGTTCCCAGTGACCGCTTGCTCGGTGACAATTTGAGCGATGGTGATGGTGTCCTCATCTGGGAGTGAAAGATGAATAGGCAGTGACTCTGCATCTTCAAAGTACTTCGTAATCAGCATTTCTGAGGCTTCAGCCTTGGCCAGCTTTGGAAGGTCCAAAGCTAATGTAGGGTCGGAATCCTCGACAGACTCAATGTCTCGGAGGGAAGTAACGTGAGACGCAACGTCGTCATCCAAGTTCAGTCTTCGAATGCTTGACTTGAAGGGCGACGTCGGTTCGTCTTCCGACGTGCTCGAGTCGTCTTGGTCTGATACTAGGCTGATGTCATCGGCATCGGATGCTAGGTCATCGCCTTTCCCGGGACTTGCAATCAGGGAACTGTTCTCGAGGTTCCCTGTGATGGTTCGGATCAGGGCGTTTGTGTGTTCTGGTTGTTTCAGTGGCTTCCTGCCCTTGCCGTGTCGTCGTAAGTAGTCGGTAGTAGGCGGCCCTTGATGAAGAGGCTGGTTGTTGGATTCTTGAGGCAGGCCTTGGAGCGTCGGCTTCCAATCAAATCGGCCCCCTTGCTCGTACTTCTTGTTAACAAGAGGCAAGACCGGATCAAAGTCCACGCTGTCGAATATGCTGCCTTTCCGCGCAGGGGTTGATTGAGGGGCGGAGCGGATATCTGCTAGAGAAGCCCGAACTCTTTTGTAGACAATGTCCGGATCGAAAGGACTCGACTCTCTCTTCATACCGCCTGCCCTGTCCGTGTTGGATCGCTGTTTTCCTTCGTCCATCAATGTGCTCCGCGCATGCTTCAACTCCGGCTTGGTGAAAATTGGAGGACTTGGTTCAGGCTTAGTATCCTCTACCGGAGGAGGCAGCAGTTTTGCCGGCTCAGGCATAGGTACTGGGAGGACAGCAGGCATTGGTGGTCCGTCAGGCATGCCCAAGTCAGGCAAGCCAGATAGGTCGAGGTCATCGCCTTCTTCGTCGAAGAAGTTGAAGTCGGCATCAGTAATGTCGGTATCCCCAAACATGTCCGGGCCCATGTCGCCAAATAAATTATCATCGTTGTCTCCCCCAGTAAAGGAGTCCGCTCGACCTTTGCCATTTTCGTTGGAATGCTCATTCGCGTGTTCGTTTGCATGCTCGTTCGAGTGCCAACCGTCAGCGTAGGAATCATGTTGTAGCGTGCCGTGCATCGTGGTTGCGTCGTGTAAAGTAGCATCTGTCATGGTAGTATCTATGTCAACAACTGCCATGGTGACTCCAGGGGCTCCTGGGCTAGAGGTCGTCCCGTCCATCGAAGGCGTGATACCGAGGGGATTCTGAACTCCGTCTGGTGGTGTTGGATACATGGCACCTGCAGCTGCCGCATTGCTAGCTCGTCTTAGTCCTAGTGGTGAATGTCCGTTTGGTTGGTGTGACAAAGCTGCTGCCGAAGCCTCCTTTGATGCCGCAGCTTCCCTCTCTTTCTTCCTCTTGGTGACTTTTTCGTCCCTGTCTACGCCCAGCTGAAACCAGGTTCTGGCCTCATTAAGGAAGTCAGAAGTCTCATCTTGCGCCAAAAGTACAGAATCTCCCAGGCCGTTACTTCGCGCGAGCGTGACGGACTTCTTGCGGAAACAGAGGACTGCTGGCCAAGATACCGTAGCCACAGCGGACAACAATGGCGTCGATTTCCCTTCAGCTTTAGACTCGCCAGGTTTCCGGCGGAGCATCTGTAATGCGATCCATGGACATGACTGTAGTAACGCAGGAGACAGCCCACGGGACTGAAGGATTTTGATGCAGGTTTCTCTCCATTGTGAGGATCTAGCGTCCGCATGCCTCCAAAGCTGGGCATCCGGTGTCTGTCCCAGACCAAGTTCGGGGTACGACAGGCCTCCGCCGACAAACCCTTGGTAGTTCGCTAGAACGCCGAAAGGGGCAGCCAATATCTGAGAGCCTAGTGCAAGTTGGCTCGGACTTGATGGCTCATTCACAGACAAGAGACCCTCGCAACAGGATAAAGATAAACTTATGACTAGTGCGCCCGTCGTGGTAAGGTATACGCGGAATGTTCCCACGACTGCAGACTCCGTGTCCTGAGCTCTCTCGGTCTGACCGTCTCGTGTAACCTTGGAAGGAAGTAAGACGGTTCGATGATTCAGGGGGATTGCTGATACGCGGTTGCAAAATGATGCTGAAGTTGTTGACAGAACGGCCGTAATAAACTGCTCGTATGCCTCTTTTATGGGAACAGAGCCAGTGCCCTTGGAATCGAGTGCGCCGGCTGACAGAGGTTTGGAGTCGGGATCGGAGGAGCTTGGCGGTCCGGAGTTGCCCATCTGCGGGTTGCGTAATGATAGGTCGAGGGCCGAGTTACTTGACGACGAACTTGTTGGTGTATTCGAGGCTTGCTGTCCTTGAGCGCGACCCTTGAACAGACTTATTGGTTCAAAAGAACCTTCGTCAACCATCAGCAATGTTGCGCCCACGACGCTCACACTACTATCCAAAACCCTTGGGTTATCGTCGCCAGACTCCACATCCTTGCCCGGAATGTGGAAATACCACACAACCCGTCTGTTCGCATCGTGGTACACAATGTGGTTGAGGGTTCTCAGTTCAGTCTCGACATCGGCGGCGATTGAAGGAAAGCTTGACGCCTGTTCAGGAGAGGGCTCGTAGACTCGGTAATTGATGGTAGATATGTTATTCTGGCAGCAAGCTGTTATCAGTGATTGTAATCCACATATTCCAACGGCCAATACGAACATTTAATAGAGTATTAGTATCGTATTCGCTCGTGTCCATGTCGACGGTCGAGTCTCGCGACGGCGGGATGTGTTCCGTGTCGCAACATCAACTCTCGGTCGCTAAAGCTCCCAGGGGCCGCAGGAGCCGGTTCAAAGCTGTAGGCCGGCAGTCATAAAAGTAATGATTCGTTACGGCATCGGTTGGAATTCGCTATGCGACTGTAAGAGGTTTTGATACGGTTGTTTGGTTGAATTCGCGAAGTCATCGACTCCATCTCCGTAGGTCGAAAGCGCGACCGATGGACCGGCTTCTCGGCATCAACCGAGTCCAACACCGTTACGGGATTATCAAGCGTATTCGAAACGAACGATGTTGCCAACTGATTGTGCGACACTGGACACTTGGATGTCGTTTGTGTTCGGAATTTGTTGGATTCGTCGTCGAAGAGCTGATGTATCGCTTTGATCACTTTGTCAACGTTCAAGCCTGGTTGGGTCGGTAAACCGCCGGAAATCCAGCACTGTCGTTGACACGCAGACAGCCCAGATTCACGCGGCTGAATGCACTAATAGGGTCCTGCTGGGAATCAGCGGGTGATGCTTCGACCAATGAAATCAACCAAAGTCCCTGGGCAGCTAACGCAAAGTAGTGGGGCAGTTTGGAAGTCGGAAAGGAGTTAGCTAATCCTCGCCTCACCGAGACCTTCCTTGCTCCAGCCAAGGTGAGGGCCCCCCACCAGCCAGAGCCGGGGACTCTTATCTAATCGGAACTTTTTGGGCAAGAAAAAAAAAAAAGTCCCCTCGGCCGCAATTCCTTCACACCTAGTCGCATTGTCGCGAAGCACCCGCCCGTACAATTTCCACCAGCGGTCTCCGACAAACACGATGAAGTTGACGAACCCAGGAACCATTCCGGTCTACACCGTTTCCGGTGCATCGACTGCCAGACCTCTGCCGGATTGGCTGGCCAGACGAAGAAAGCGATCGCTCAAGAACGACGCGGAGTACCAGAGCCGAGTCGAGCTTCTCCAAGATTTCGAATTCGAGGAAGCCAGCACCTGCATTCGCGTCAGTGAGGATGGTGACTGGGCTGTCAGTGCAGGAACATACAAGCCTCAGATTCACGTTCACAACCTCCCACAACTGTCTCTGTCGTTTGCGCGCCACACGAATTCTCTTACAGAGAAGTTGACGATCCTCTCCTCCGACTACTCCAAGACTCTACTCCTCCAGGATGACCGACAACTCGAGTTTCACACCCCGATGGGCTGCCATTACAAGATTCGCATACCCCGTTACGGCAGAGACTTGCTCTACGATCGGCAGTCAACCGAAGCACTCGTACCAGCCGTAGGAGTCGACCAGGATCGCATGGGTGAAGTCTTCCGCTTGAACCTGGAGATTGGCAGGTTCATGAAGTCTTTCCAGATCGATGTCGGCGGTGATGAGGAGGGAGCTGGCCTCCAAGGGAGCATTGATGCCGGAAGTGTCAACGCTGCGGCATTGGCCGAAGGCTCCCATGGCCTTGCGGCTTTCGGAACCTCTATTGGCACGGTGGAATTCTGGGACCCGAGATCCAAGTCCAGAGTCGCGCGTCTAGGCTGCCAAGAGGGTGGCATCACTGCCTTGGACTTCAGCACGTCGGGACTGTCCATTGCCACTGGTTCCGAGACGGGCATGGTTCAGCTGTTCGATCTCCGTCGCCCAGTCCCTCTCTTGACCAAGGACCAAGGCTACGGCTTCCCGATCAAGAAGCTCATCCACATGACAACAGCTTCTCAAGAAAAGAAGATTTTGTCTGCCGATAAGAAGATCATCAAGATTTGGGACGAGACGGATGGTACACCATGGACTTCAGTCGAACCCATTGTGGATCTGAACGATGTGTGAGTTACGAGACTGCAATCTTTTTCCTTTGAATTCTCACTAATCAGAAACCAGCGCTTGGTGCAAGGATACCGGTATGCTTCTGACTGCCAACGAAGGCAAGTCTCAACACTCCTTCTTCATTCCCAGTCTCGGCCCTGCACCACGATGGTGCTCTTTCCTCGACAACATGGTCGAAGAGATGGCAGAGGAGGTCCGCACCGAGACATACGACAACTACAAGTTCTTGACGCTGCCCGAGCTCAGACAGTTGAGCATGGAGCACCTCATTGGCAAGACAAACCTGCTCCGTCCGTACATGCACGGTTACTTCGTTGCGTCGAAACTCTACGAACAGGCCCGCCTCATCGCCAACCCGTACGTTTGGGAGGAGGAGAGGACGAAGCGCATCAAGGAGAAGGTCGAAAAGGAGCGCGCCAGCAGAATCAGAGGCAACAAGAAGGTCAAGGTCAACCAGAAGCTTGCCGACAAGCTTCTCAAGAAACAGGAGAACAGAGAGGTTGTCGACGAAAAGGCCGGCCTGCTCGGCGACGATCGTTTCGCCAAGATGTTCGAGGACGACGCCTTCGCCGTCGACGAGTCCACCTACGAGTTCCGTGCTCTCAACCCCAGCACCAAGGTCGCCGCAAAGGATACTCACGAGGTTGGTGTCAGCGCTGCTGCCCAGCCTGTTGTGGATCAGGGCCCCAAGGGTCTGGGTAAGAAGGCAACACAGGAGTACCAGATGAAGATCTCGTCTTCCAACCAGAAGGGCCAGGAGCGCGACACTGCTTTGGGCGCCCGGGTGCAGAAGTCCGGCCGCATCAGCAAGACGCATCGTGGAAATGCCTACGGCGAAAAGGCGGTCACATTCGTTCCCCAAGGGAAGAAGAAGAACGGAGGCCCTGTGGACACTCACGACGATTCCCGGCCGCGCGACCACAAGAACAACGCAAGAAGAAGCGCCAGCTCAAACACGTTCCGAAGACTTTAAGGACAAGCGCTATGTATTTTCAAAGGGCATAATAATGGTACAAGAAAAAGGACTCTATACGCTACGCAGATCCAAGTTCGTCAGTCATCCAGTCTCGACCGCCTCAGCAAATGAACCATTACACCAGCACCAAGCCAGTTGGCGGCCGTCATCCCTCCCATACCCTGAGTTTCCTCTCACGTTCGCCTACTTCCGGCCCCACCTCATCAACTTGCGCTTCGACTCTGCTTCCTTGAGGCCCTTTTCGAGGTCTTCCGGGCGGAGTCTGGGCGTAGGCGGAACGTCGTCAAGCCTCGCGCGCCCGCGGTGGCTGCGTGGCGGAGACGAAGACTCTTTGACTGATCTGGGGAATTCGGTTCTCCGCGGCGTGAGAGCGGTGACGACCTTTCTGGCGGACTTGCGCATGGTCTCTCTGATCTTCCACTCTCGCTTCTTGGCAACGTAGAAGAGAACGGCCATGCCAACTGTACGAGTAAGGGCCCGGTTAGCGAATGGGGGTTTCAAAGGAGTTGGTGCTTTGGTTTTCCTTGCATGGATTGTTACGTACTTCCGAGGGCGCCAACAACAGAGACGACGACGATGATGGCAATCATGGCTTCACGGGACAGGTTGACGGCCCCAGGGCTGTCACCAGAGGCTCCTGCCTCGGTATCGACACCATTTCCAGATGAACTGGCGTCTCCAGGAGAGTCTGGATAATAGGTTTCGGTCGCCAGAGGAAAGAAGTTGGAGGTTGTGGTCGCCATCTTGGTTGGAGGTCGAGGTGCCACTCGCAGAGGGGCAACGGTGAAGACGGTGATTTGGAAGGATGTTGGAAAAGTTCTTGGAGAGGCACAGCCAGGCAAGGTGGGAAGGCAACCGAACGAGAGAGAGAAAACGGCGTCAGAATCGTATGAGTAAGGTAGAATAAAGAAGCTGAACAAAAATCGAAAGGATACCCGGCGCCACGAATGTGGCCCAACTCACTATTTACATTGTTCAAGCGCCCAGAGCATTATTTTCTCACATGGGGGAGCCCAGCGCCAATCGTTGACTCCGTCCCCCTCCCCTTTTCACCCCATCTGCAAGCAGCCATACAGAGGGAGCAACCACTTAGAGTGATGTGACTGACGAAGCGAAGGGCCCTCACGACACCCCCGTGCAAGTGCATACATAGCATTTCACACACGGCACTTGCGAGCGCGCACGATAGCACGTCGGCCAAGGTGTGCGTGTGGTCCAAAGACCCACGTCCGGGGCGCAGGAACCGTATCGAAGCACCTTGTTCAAGACCGTGGGGACGCCCAAGACTTTCAAAAGAGAGGACGACCTCGTTTGAGCCCAGGGGACGGTCGAAATAGGCTCGCGACGTTCCCATTGGCGTTGAGCGACCTCGAAGCGCCGGCACACGGCGCTTTCACATCGGGGCCGGGATGTGGTTGGCCAATCAGCGGGGGGAGCCTGGGATGGGCGGCTCGGACGAATTTGGTGAGGTGCAGGGGTCGAACTGCGTCCCGTCACAATCCTACCTAAGGTATTGTGTTAGTGTATCTTTTGAGCTGCATTTCCTATTTGCATTGCATGTGTGCGCGGCCGGAGTCAGTCACTCGAGATCGGTTTTTGAGAGGTTAACTGTCGCCGGCAGTGGATGTAATATCGACGAGCTTAATTGTGTGATGAGGGAGGGGTTCTCGCATTCTCCGTTGACATGACGATCCTGCGGTGTGATGGCTCGCATCTGGAGCTGATTCGAATGGCCTGCGTCTTGAGAGATATACTTTCCTATGGCCTCCCGCTCTATCTGCGATGCCATCTGCACGATTCGTCACCGTCACTTCTTTCCCTCCCGCTGACAAGAGAAGCAGAACATGTTCGTTGTAGGACCAAAAAGCGGGAGAGCCGAGTGGTACAAGCAGATTCTGGTCTTTCCCCGATCAAGCGCGGGCCACCTCTATTCCGACGATGATGCCTTGGAGGTATCACTTGCCGCCTGCTGTCCTTCCCGCTTATCACTCATGTCGTTTCCTCGGTGGAGATCCTTTTGGCATTGCTTGGCTTTTCCTTGGGAAGTTCTAAATCTGGGGGCGACTGCCTTGGCCTCCAGGCTGATTCTCGGATCACTTTACGCATCTTTCTCGGTTTGTCATCGCGGGGAGGTTGTTGCCGGAGCTGGCGTGACCTGTCAGCAGGTCGTATCAGAGAAAGGTTGTACCTGCACGGCTGGAGATCAAGCGGTCTCCTCTCCCAGTGGCCATGGAACGCATAGAGAAGCCACGGTTAAAGGCCGTCCCGGAAACTGCCATTGCTGACGCGGAGAGATAACAGGAAAGTGTCCTGAAACCGGCGACTGCCCAAGGAGGGTCCTCGCTGCGATACGTTCTTCTACTTCTTTTGGATCTCGGGTCGATGCTACTTCAATACAGATGTGCTGATAGATTGGTGTTTTCCACTACTTACTACCGTCCTGATCTGGATGCCTGAAGCAAGATCGAGTGATTGGTATTGCTACTGCCTTTTAACTACCATCCCTTCATCAATTCGGCAAACTTCCCAGGCAATTTGTCATGTTGTCAACTTACACCAACCGCTGTTCCGGGCCAACGCAGGTAGGACATGGGAAGCTTTCGACATATGTAGACGGTAAATGAAGTTCTCATTATGTGCCGAAAAGGTCTTGGAGACGAAAAGTCTAGTTCATTTAATACCCGCAAGCTGTACTAAACTGGGCATAAACCGGGTTTTCTTACTTGCCAGAGAAAAAAACATTATCTTGACAGCATGGTTCATCAACAGGAAGGAAAGACACACGCATCTGGAAGGCATGAGCGGTCGTTTGCAGGTAGCTAAGGCAGGTACCTTGATCAGTTCTAGAAGCGTCGTTCCTTCCAATCGATGATAGAGGGCGGTTGTTGCCACATTCCTTTAGCCATTGCTTTCCTGATCTGAAGTGACGAAAGCTCTTTCTGCGTCTCAGACAGGAACGATGAAATCGTATGCTCTGCGATTACCAAAACCCCATCAGCAGTTGTGGCGCGGCAGGCAACCTTCGAAATACCTCCCCGTTCTGGAGGTCCATCTCGTTAGGTAGTGGTGTGTTGATCGTTTCGTCCTCAACTTCAATTCTCATAGCCCGCTGAGTCTGACAGAGCTGTTGCCTCCCGTTTTTGTCTCCCCTAGTCCTCCTAGTTGTCGTCACTTTTCCTCGTCCAGATTGGCTCTCTGCTAAAATTTGCTGTCTTGGACCAGAGACTCTAGATATTGACCACAGCTTGTGGTTGTAGTAGCTACTACGGCCTCTGGCCTCTTCCATACCATGGCCAACAAATCCAGCCCCGACCCTCTGTCAGAAAATGGTGGCATATTCCGACACGCTAGGCTCAGTTCCAACCCCCGTTCAAAAGGATGCAGCCCATATCACTGTCCTGACGACGGTTCCCAGGCCGAAGACTCTCCCTCAAGTGCGGAGTCCCAACCGTCATTGCTCAGCCAGCTGAGAATCTCGCAGCCGAAAGTCAAGCACGTCATCCAAGATGATGGGAACGAACAGTATCATGTTTCTCAGACACGCGGCCACCGGAGAAACCCTTCATATCATCCTGAAGAAGACACAGAACTTGTTGGGGAGATTGATACGTTCGTCTTCGCACCACAGCCCAAGTACAAGCCGAATCAGTTTTCTGGCCACCAGCAGCGTCGATCCATCAATTTCAGTGCCCTCAGTGGGCGGCAAGATGCAGTGCCTCAAGAGGACTGGATAGATGCCGGCAACGTACGACCTACCCAGCCCCAGGATCAGCCAGCTTTGATAAACGATAGTAGTCACCACTACAACGACGTCGACACCCATGCAAACAATATGCCAGCTGTTATCTCTCGAAGTGATCCAGGACGAAGGGGGACTCCTTTTCAACGCTTGAGGGCTGCAGAAGTCAACCCGGAGCAATCGAGTAGCCACGGTCAGCTACAGGGCCGAGTCCTCTCAGATCAGATGACTACCAGCTCTGAGAGAGATTCAGCTGGAATGTCTGTCTCGAGACTCCCCTCTGTCCAGGCCGAGCAGAAAATAAATGGTTCTGCTATCGAGAACCGCAGCATTCGACCCTTTGCTGATGCCGATGCCATTCTTCCCTGCGATCAACGGGAGACTCTGCAGCCTGCACTTGAACAAACGGCTACTGATAGGGGTATTCCTTCACAGCGGCACAGCTCTCGGGGAGAAAAGGAAGGCGAACAACAGCAATGTGTGGTTTCAGATCGAGACTTGGAACCACGCCTCTCCGAAACTAGCAAACCCGTTGATGATAATCGTGTGATGCCTCGTCAGATAGCCCGAGTTCAAAGACAGCATCACGAGACAGTTGAGATTCGGTCGTCTACTCCAGTTGGCGACTTGGAAATGCCACAGAAACAAACTCCTGGTTCTGCTCGCAAGTCGAATCGACAGCACTCTTCGCCTAGAGAGCAGTCAATTCGACGTATCAGGCGCGACCAAGATGCCAGAGATGTTCCGCAACGTACGAAATCGCGTCTTTCAAATACTTCTCGACGTCGCAAGCACTCCCACCGCCAATCACAACACGGCAAACCGAGTCAGGAAAAGGCTAACTCAGGCTTGGAGAACCAGCAGGTTACGGCAGAGAGCCACTATGAAGCACTCGAAAGTATGTCGGCTCACTACAACAAAGTGCTCAGCTACTCAAAAGAAGTTGAGCACAAGATGAATAGTCGTCTCCTGGGCCAGAAGCAGCAGATCGAAGAACTGGAGACTCGTTTACAGCAGTATCAAGCACGTTATCAGAAAGACTGCGACCGCCGGGTGCAGTCGAACTCAGAGCTTTCTCTTTTACAACATCAGAAGGACGAGCTCTCCCAGAATCTAGCTCAACAAGGCGGACGACTGCATGAACTAGAACGGAAAGTGGCCGATCTGCAAGCTGAGAGAGAAACGCAAGACAAAGAAGCGACTAGATTGCACCAAGAGCTGGAGGTCACACATTCCAAGCTCGACAAGTTTCAAGAGAAAAGCCGCTCGTACAAGGATCACCTCAATAAGGCTGTTGCAGAACACCAACAACTCTGGCAAAATTCGAGAGATATCACCGAAAACACCATCAATAGCATGAGAAAGGAGCATCAAGAGGCGGGAGAGAAGTTCAAGTTGGCCATGGCAGAGAAACAGGCTGCCCAGGATAAGTTGAATCTCATTTCCAAACACAAGCAGGTACTTCTCCAGCAGGAAGTGGCAGCGGGTAAGCAGATTCGATTCGAAGATTAAGGTCGCTGAACTGACATTGAGAAGCGGCATCAAAGATCAGAGACTTGACGTCAGCCCTGGACAATCTTGAGAAAGATTACGACTTTGAGGCACAGAGAGCCAAGAAGTTGGAGGGAAAGCTCCTCGACGTGGGTGCCTTGAATGGTCTGCTGCGCCAGATCGATGAGAATGTGGCTGGAGTCTGCTCGGAGGTGGGCAATATGCAAGCGCGCTCTCTCGAAGCGCCCGCTGTGCCGTCCGAGGTCATGAGAAGGTACTTTCCAATTGCCCTCGTGTCGTCCGTATGTGACTGACTTTTGCAGGTTGGACGAAATTGCCGGCCACGTGCAATGTTCCCCTCAGGTCAACGTAGAAGATGAGATTCAGCGAGCTTTAGAGAACTTTCAAAAGGAAATGATGCCACAGTAGGTGCCCGCTGATGTATTCTGACTTCTCAGCTGACATATGTCCAGACTTTTAGAGGAGTTGAAATCCACTATGACTGGTCAGTCCATCGAAGAAAAACTGCAAACTCTACAGGAGACGCTCTGGAAACAGTCGTTATCGATCGAGGCGGAGCGCGAACATCGTCAGGAACAGTTTATGCTACAACTTTCGGAGAGAAAGGACGAGAACAGCAAACTTGTACAGGATCTTCTGGCCAAGGATGCTGAAATCGCAGATATGTCCAACTGTGTTTCTGAACTTGATCAAAAACTACGAGAGGCGAGAGACTCTGCAGAGTTGGCATCAAAGAGGGCAACAATCATGGAAGAAAGGCTCCGAGAGTTACAGCAAAGCCTCTCAAGCAAGGATTGTCAGGTCGCAGAGACGCAGACTGAGCTTCAGCTCCAACGACAAGGGCACGAGACCAAGATCCGAGAGCTTCAGGAGAAGTTACGGATTGCCGAGGAAAGTGGCCATCTGCAACGACAGCTAGCCGAAGAGACGGAGAAGAATCTCGCAGAAAGGTCCGAGGAAGATAAAGAAACCCAAACACGGCTGAAGAGCTCGGAAGAATCTCTGCACCGGGCTCAGCAACAGTTGGCAATGGCCGAGACGGAGGTTGAACGCCTCAAGGCCTTGGACAGTGTTACTAGAGCATCGAAACTCGAAAAGGAGTTGGAGAATGCTCATCAAAGAGTCACCAATCTCACACTCAAGCTTCGCGATACGCAGGTCTCGGCTGCTAACAACGGCCAGCTTGATCAGGTAGCCGAACAGCTTGCCCAGCTCCAAATACTGAAGGAAGAAGTCAAGCAGCTCAGGTCAAATGGCAAGGCATACGCGGCGGTCAGCAAGGACTTCGCAAAAACACTCGACAGACAAGATGCCACGGGAAACGACGATATTCTGATCCCTGATAGTCTTGTGCTGCCGGAACCAATGCTTCCTGTGTTGCTGCAGCAAGATCTTTATGATCCTCTGAACGACTTTCAGCCGAGCTCCTCTGACATGCCGCTGATCCGAGCCAGCAAACGAACGGTTTTTCGCAGTCCTGTTGAAGAGTCGGAAGATGAGATGCCTGCGCCATCAGTCGAGCAGGAGAAGTCGCAGCGAATGGAGGTAGCCGTTCAGGGATCCAAAATAAGATCGATCCTCCGCCCCCAGAGAACTCCGGTTGCAAAAGCATCGAAAGGAAGTAACGATACCATGGTCGCGCGCCATGCTGGACACTCTTCGTACAACCGACCCGTGCAAAGTGCCCCCAAGTCCAGTCAGGAGGCCATCTTGGGTGTCAAGAACAGCCTTGTGGGCAACCGCGAGGCAAACCTCGGCGATTTGACCAACCCTAACGAATGGGAAAGACTTGACCGACCAGCGAGCTTGTCGGAGCAGCGCGGAACCAAAAGATCTAGCAACGCCCAGCAATGGTCTCGAGGCTCGAAACGGTCCAAACCATGCTTCGCCGAGAATGAAGACAACCAGGAGACTTCACAGGCCGCGGGAAGCAATAATGAGGACTGTCTCCGGGCTGAACCACCGGAGCGCAACCAAAGAGACGGCAATAGGGTGGCTCCGGTAACCGTGGATGATGATCAAGTTTCCCACCATTTCTTCCCAAGCGCTTCCAAGCCGAATGAGGGCACACGTTAAGGGAGAGTCCGCAGCTTTAGCAACATCCATCGAGGTCGGTTTTCTTGGACGTGGACTGAATATTTATATGGGTGGAATCATGCAGAGGAATATTGCATTTACGCAAGGCTTGTTCTCTTTTGATAGAATATACAACTAGGTCGCGGCCATCGAAGCCTTCGCTTTCTTTCCGCCTCTGGGGCACAGTCCAACGTGCCAATGCCTTGTCCCTGACGATAGGCCTGAGGGACTGCAGGTTGATGATGTACAGTTCATCCATGTGGTCTTCGAGCCCCAATCGTATGCCGCCGTGAACGCCGTTTATGGTGATATCAGTGTTGTTACATATGGTATTGGTATTTCGAGAGTGCGCGGGCTCATTTCCCCTTCTTCTTCTGCTCCAAGAAAAGCACCTTTCGCCGAACTGTGAATACGTTAGCACTGTTATCCCCATCTCCATCTCATGGTACGTATCGATTGGCGCTCGCCATGGAGACAAGTACCACGTGTGTCGAACCGAGGAGTAAGGGGTCAGCATACTGATTGGGTCGTATTTCAGCAAGCTCATGGGTGTTGCTGTTCGGAGACGCTTGACAGTGTAGAAGTAACCAGTCGCGGCCATGGACAAGAGCCGGACGATCATGACACGGGACTTTGCTGTTGGACACAATCAATTAGCTTGGTGATTTGAAGGAAAGCAGGCAATGCGCTTGAATGAAGTTCAGCGGGGTTGCATACCTTTCTTGGCCATCTTGAAGGGGAGTTTGCGCCGCTCGCGTTGGATAGCTTGAGGCTTGGACACGGGTGGACGGGATAGCTTCGCAGTATGGAGACTGGAATTTTGCGGGTGGTGAGAGACTGTCGGCGGAAAAAGGGCCGTTCACCGAGATCTGTGTGTCGGTGAGATTTCGGTGTAGTGGACGTGTACTCCAGCATCGCTCGATCTCACCAGATGGTGCCAGCTGGCAGGGAGACACCCATTCGATCGCCTGTCAGTGGATAAACTAGTCTCACTCACTTCTCCTTGAATATCTATCAATAGGAACTTTGCGACGTGATGTTAGTCAAGTGATACATCTTGGAAAGAAGCCAAGCAAAGAGGGGCTAAATAAACCATGGCCGATTGAGGGACTGTAGCACCTTGCAACGTGAGTATCCGTAGCATGGAACTGCAGCTCGGCTTATGCCAGCCTCCAGCGGTCAAGCTGCGCGGTCAGAAGTCTATGAGATCGTAATCCGAGCAACTGAGATGTTGGTTGGTGGATCTCGTTCAGGGTCCTTTCTCGGTCAATAGCTCTATCCCCGTTGGGGGCCCAGCAACGTTTTTAGAGCTTGCAGGGACCTGGGCACGAAGCGTCACCGCCAACGATGCCTTTTCCCATGTTCGGACGGTGATGGTCTACGACATTCTGGGTTTGGGCTGCTGGAGCTTAGGTGGGATTCTTCTTTTTCTTTGCGCGCCGTTCCCTGCACGCGGCCCTTTTTCTTGAGGACGAGCCCGCAGTTTAATCGCGAATATCTAGCCACACCCGACTCCCCCGAGTGGTGGTTCGCCCGCCGACGCCGGGCTTTGAAGGGGTGTGGGCAAAGTGGTTATCTCGCAGCTCGGGTCGCGTTTCTCAACAGATGGGCAGGGCCGTGGCCGTGGCCGGAGAAAGCAGCAGTAGCAGCGGCAGGATGGTGAGGAGGAGGGTGGGCAGGGCGTAATAGTTGGCGTGAGCAGGCAGGATAGGTAGACAAATAAAGAGGAAAGGACATCCCATTCTGTTCCTGTGCTGCCTGCTTTCATGGAGAGTGGTGGTTCAGGTAGGCGTGCACTTTCCCGAGTCGTGGTTCTGAGACTTTCATTTCGCCGTCGATCGACTGCTTTCCTTTTTTCGCATTCTCAGCTAAACGGGATACGTACTTGACGATCCGGAACCGCCTCCATACCGCCGAGAGCAGACGGCGTTTCGTCGTGGAATTCTCTTTCTTCGACACCTTTCGAGTCTCGCATTTCCAGTAACGGAGAATACCAACCGACTCACCGAATACACCGTATACCGAAGCAGCGATTTTCTCTACGAAACACTACATTTGATACGCTAGCCGATCAGCACAATACGTTCGACGATGGCGGCGAACAGAGTGGCTTGCACTGCGGCCAGGTCGCTGGGAGCACCGAAGAGTCAGGCTGCCGCGAGCCAAGTGCGATTGATGAGCAGCGTAGGCAGATCAAATGGTACGTCGCAATGCTGGGCGAATTTTGCTCCCAACAGCTTCAACAAATTCTGTTTGCTTCGCCTGGGTGTTTGTTCCCAGCCCTGTTCACAAACCAAAAACTATTCCTGTATCGTTGAAAGTGGAAGGTTGGTGCAGCTCGAAGCTGTCCCAAGCTCTCTTGTTCAGCACCGCTCAAACGGGACAGCTCCCGTCCAAGCTACCTTACGATTTCCTCCCCCACCTGTTTTCACTCGCCAGCTTACACCGTACGCCACGTCTCTTTATTCGCCATCCTTCACCGAACAAACGGACAAGGCACTTGATCATTTTGCTCTCAAATTCGATCAAGCGCGCTTTACTCCCACGTGGACCCCCACACTTTCCATTCTCCCGCGGCATAGGCAATTGGAGTTTTTTCATCACGGCGTCGAGGACTCGGAAATACCCTGGCGGGAGAATCCGTAGAAGCTCTAGCCTCTGGGCGCGCTGACCGGCTTCCCCCTTGTCCTGCCGTCACCGGTTTCGGACACAGGCCTTTGAGGCAAACCCGCGCCAAACACGACCGGGTCTGATCCACGTCTTCGTCTACGACTCACCAGCAAGTGCTCGGCTGGCGTCCCGCACTGGAGGGGGCGAACACAGCCCGTCATGGAAGCCATCCCGCGGCAGCACAGAAACGATGCCACGCAGGGTCATGTCTCGTGCCCCCGAGGTCACAGTACCAGCCTAAGTAGGCTGGCGACTGTCAGAGTTATTGAATAAGAGCTTCTGCATCGGACGATGACAGGAAGAAGATGCGCTGATTTCCTGTCAACTTTGCCGTCTTTTTCTTCCCTCTGTCCGTTTAATCCATCAATTAAACATTGCGCACTGTTGTAACGGCCCCCGCGTCCGAGACTTGGTTGCTTGTCGATTGCCCTTCGTTGACGAAGAGCTAAATAAATAGCACTTGAGGTGGCTGCGTACGTTTTCAGGGTTTTCTTGAGACTCATCCTTCTTGCCTTTTATCTCAGCATTTCCAACTCCTTTTCTTCTTTGCTCGGCTCTTCCCCGTGTTATCGATCCGAGTCCAGGTGTTTTTCTACCTTGATCTCCACTGTTGCGCGGCAGAAGCCCTTTTACTAACTTTTATATGACTCTTGCACAGATACCCCGCGGTCCCCTAAGATCTTCCTCTCCAATACCCCGCCATCTCAGAGGCAACTTTTCTTCAGCAGCAGCAACAGCCGTTCGTCACCCCACCATCGAACCATGTCTACCACATCGAGCCGTCGGCTGAATGTGCACAACATCAACCAGCATGTTGTTGCTGCCGAGTACGCCGTTCGCGGCGAGTTGGCCGTGAAGTCGGAGGAATACCGAGCGAAGCTGTCCAAGGGCGACAAGGACCTCCCCTTTGACGCCGTTATCTCGGCCAACATCGGCAACCCCCAGCAGCTCGACCAGAAGCCCATCACCTTCTTCCGCCAGGTTGTCAGTCTTCTCGAGAACCCCCTGCTTCTTGAGCACGAGGATGTTTTGCAGAACCAGCTCGGATACAAGAGCGATGCCATCGCTCGCGCCAAGTTCCTCTTGAGCAAGGTCGGCTCTGTTGGCGCCTACAGTGCCAGTGCTGGTGTTCCCGCTATTAAGGAGAGTATTGCAAAGTTTATTGAGCGTATGTCCTTATCTGCCTTCACCTTGGGCCGAGTGTGAAAACTGACAAAGATCTCTGCAGGCCGCGACGGATTCCCCGCCGATCCCGCCCACATTTACCTCTCTGGCGGTGCCTCTTCCGGAGTCAACACCCTTCTTCACATCATCGCCCAGAACGCTCAAAGCGGTGTTCTTGTGCCCATTCCTCAATACCCTCTCTACACCGCAACGCTATCAGTTCTCAACGCCACCTGCGTTCCCTACTACCTGGACGAGGCCGCTGGCTGGGGTACCGACCTGAACACCATCAAGGCTGCCTACGAGAAGGCCACCTCCGAAGGCACCGATGTCCGCGCTATTGTCATTATCAACCCCGGCAACCCAACCGGTGCCTCCCTGTCCGAGGATGACATTCGCGCCGTCTACGACTACGCTGCGGAGAAGCAGCTTGTGGTGATGGCTGACGAAGTCTACCAGACCAACGTCTTCGTTGGCAAGTTCCACTCCTTCAAGAGCGTTCTGCGCAAGCTGCAGAAGGAGACCCCTGGCAAGTACGACGGTGTCGAACTCGCTTCCCTGCACTCCATCTCCAAGGGTATGGTTGGCGAGTGCGGTCACCGCGGCGGCTACTTCGAGCTCGTCAACTTCGACCCCGAGGTCGAGGCCAACATTTACAAGTTCGTCTCCATCACCCTCTGCGCTCCCGTCATCGGCCAGTGCATCGTCGAGCTCATGGTCAACCCCCCCAAGGAGGGCGAGCCGAGCTACGAGCTGTACAAGAAGGAGTACGACGGCATCTTCAACGGCCTCAAGGAGCGCGCCACCGCCCTCCACAAGGCCTTTGACCAGATGGAGGGCGTCGAGTGCGGCGCGCCCCAGGGCTCCATGTACCTCTTCCCCACTATCAAGCTTCCCGCAAAGGCCACCGAGGCTGCCCAGAAGGAGGGCCGCACCGCCGACGAGTTCTACTGCATGCGCATGCTCGAGGCCACCGGCGTCTGCGTCGTTCCCGGCAGCGGGTTCGGTCAGAAGGAGGGCACCCTGCACTTCCGCACTACTTTCCTCGCCCCCGGCACCGACTGGGTCGGCCGCATCATCAACTTCCACAAGGACTTCATTGAGAAGTACCGGTAAGCGAGTTAGGTGTAGCATCTAGTCGATTTTTCTTGTGCGGGGACCTTGAAGGTGCGAGGAGGCCTGTCGCGTTGGATGATAGCGCGGCTAGGAATACCTAGGTATGAAACGAACGAATTTGCGTAGTCTTTTTCCGGAACCACGTATCCAGGGCGGATAAAAGCAGATATCGATGAGCACGTACGAGGCGTAGAGTAGATATCTCGTTTGTTTTAGCAAGATCTCTGGGATTTGGCAGGTGTTGGCGACACTTTATGAGCATAGCTTGCGAGAATAGAAAGATTCCGCTCCCATCAATTCTGCATCCAGACCTTTCACAGTCATCTCATGCGGGCCTCGGTCAAGCCAAGATTTCTCAAATTGGCTTGTCTAATCCGCAGGTATCATACAGAGAGTTATTGTAGTAGCACACATTTGCTTGCCCCAATCCCCGGTTTCTATTCGCCGCCTGCCGTTTCTAGCTCGCGCCTTTCAAAGTCCCAAGCCTGACTAAAGGACACACGATTGTAAAAGCATTGTGGTAAAAAGCTCTCCGTCATTCTTCCAGTCGCCTCGCTCTTTGGCTGATTATGCCCGCTCGCTTCCTCTCAAACGCACAGCCTGGCCGTACTTCTGGAGCTTGGTGATAAGCTGATCGCCCTGGCGGACGACGTCCTGGTACTGCTTGTTCTTGTCGTCGGGGCGGTTGGTCTCGATGACGCCCTTGCCGCTGACGCGGTCGATTGTGCAGGGGATGCGGCCCGCTGCGATGAACTTGGCGAGATCACTGGAGATGAAGTTAGATGTCTGATCTGACCGATGCAGCTGAAAGGGAGAGAAACATACCGGTCCAGGAAGTCAACAGTGACGCCAAAGTCGGTCGCCATTGTCTCCAGGCCAACCACACGGTAGCTCTGGAGGAGCTGCTGGTAGGCGCGCAGACGCATCTCACGGATGAACCAGTTCTTGTGCTCGTGGAGGTAGCGGTCCTGAGTGAGGAACGACTCCTCAACCTGGGCGAGAGCCTGGAAGAAGTACTTGTACTGGCCGTTGTACAGGCTGGAGACAAGTTGAGCCAAAGGCGAGAAGTCGATAGCCATCTCGGCCTCGGGCTGGTCGGTGCTTGTTCCGAGAGTCGTCAGGTTCACCGCCGTCTTGGCAGCGGCGGGCGGTGCGTCGTGCATGGCGTCGTCGGCACCGGGACCGGCGCTGAGGGCACCAGACAGAGCGAGGAGCTTGTCCTCTCCATCACCCAGAATGGCCTTGATCTCGGGGGCGTCGACAACCTTGCTCTTGAAGTCGACACGCTTCAGGGACACAGATCCGGCGAGAACGGAGTAGACGACGAGGGAGGAGTAGGTGCAGAGTTCGTAGCTGGTGAAGGTGGACAAGCTGTCGAGCAGGAGCGGGGCGGCCAAGTTGTATGACCGGACGGTCAAGAGGTAGATGCCCTCGTACGCCTTGAGACGGTTGCGACGATCCCAGTCACCACCGGACTCAACCAGGGTCTTTGCGCGTTCAACATGCTTCTTGACAAGAAGCTTGTCGCCGTAGAAGAGCCCCATGCGGATTATTGCGAGAACCAAGTCGATCTTGGTGCCCAGGATGCCGGTCTTCTCGAAAACGTCTTCGTATGCGGCGATCGCCCGGTCCTGTCAAAGGGGTCAGTCAGGGTTTCCTTGGTGAGTTGATAGTCCTTCCAATCGCACCTTGTCACCGACTCTGGCCCAGAACTCCGCGCGCTTGCCCCGCGCGGCCTGGATCTCCGTCTCGCCAGCCTTCTCAACGGCCTCATCCTCTTCCTTTTGGAACTCTTCCAACTCCTTGTCGTTGTCGGCCTTCAGCTCTTGGTACCTGGCCTCATCCCAGGGTAGGTTGACTGCGGTGGGGGTGGTCTTGGTGGCAATCATGCCCGCCAGACTCGACTTCCGACTCAGCGGCTTGCCGGGGGTCTGACTGCCACCCTCGCCAACTTGGTTCAGAATACCCTCAAGGGGGTGTGCGAGGTACCGGTAGAGCGGTGCCATCTTGTGCTCGGTGATGGCATCATTGAGAGCTTTCGCAGCGGATTGTTGAGATGGCCGGGATGCGTAGGCGTTTGTGAGGGCGAAGACATGCTGGGCGAGAGGAAGGAGAGGGTACTTTGCGTACTGGGGTTCTGAGCCCATCTTGGCGGTTGATTGTACGAAGGCGTCTGGAAAGGGTCGTGGTCGGTTGCTGAGGAGGGGAGAAATCAAAGAGGTTGAGGCTGCGGGATGGGTTACTGGGTGAGCAAGAGTGATGTCGTTGTATGGTGGTGTTTGGAGCTGGGAGCTCAGGAAAGCCCCCTGCAACCCGCAAGCGTCTGGCCAGAGGCTGACGTGATTGGTCTGCTGCCGGGGGTGAGCTTAGTCAAGCCAGCAAGGCTGCAGTGCGACACGTACCGGACCTGCCTGCAAGCACGAGACAGCCCGCACTGCGCCTACCTACTTAGTTGAAATGCCGAATTGCGTTCAAAATATTTCCAAGATGTCAAGTTGGCTATATCCAAACATAAGCAGCATATATGAGGAGACAGCATAGTAATCATGAATATTGTTCTTTGGGTCCAGACTGAGAAAGAGCGTTCGTTTCTAACACCACACCTTCCGTACCTTTAATGAATCCATAGGTGGGTTTTACCTTCCTCAGCAGGTACCCCAGTATACTCCCCCTACCTCTTGCGACGCTTCGCAACAGCAGCTTCTGTTCCTCTCCAACAGTTCGCATCAACTTTCTCACACCCGTACTTTCACAATCAAATTCTGGAAACAAACACAACAGCCTGCAATCCCCCCGGGAGACGAGAATATTTGCCTTTACAAACAAAGAATTCTCACGTCTGATTCGAGACAATGGCGGGCTACGACGACGACGATTCGTACGAGCGAGAGTCTCATTCATACGACGCGAAGAAACGCAAAAGATCACAATCGCCCTCGAGAAACGGCAATTCCTCGCGAAGAGGCAACAAGCGCGAGGATGGAACCGATGAACTTCCCCAACCCTACAATGCGAAGGAGCTTCAGCCCGCTAAGCGCCGAGCCGTCTCTCCCTCCGAACAGCCTCGCAAGCAGAAGCGACCGGGTGCCCGAGCTCGCATATCCGAGTCTGAAAGAGAGGCCATCCGCCAGAGAGCACTCGACAGGGAGAAGGAGTTGGAAGCTGCGGCCCACGCTGCAGCTGAGCGTCAGCGCGGCACCAACAACGATGTCGTCACGCAGCATTACAACAGTGTACCAGAGCGCGGTAGGGACTGGAGACGAACCGACAGCAAGATCAAGGGCCTGCGCGCCTTCAACAACTGGATTAAGAGTTGCATCATTCAGAAGTTCTCGCCAGATGAAGACTACACCCCGGGCTCTCGTGAGCCGGGCGCAAAGGAGTTACTCGTGCTTGACGTCGGTTGTGGAAAGGGAGGTGACCTTGGCAAATGGCAGCAAGCACCTCAATCAGTAGAGCTCTACGTCGGTCTCGATCCTGCGGATATCAGCATCGACCAGGCTCGAGAGCGTTACCGCCAGATGGGTAGCCGCGGAGGCGGTGGCAGGGGCGGTAGAGGAGGATACAGACGGCCACCTCCTCGGCTTTTCGAGGCACGCTTCCAGGTCAAGGACTGCTACGGCGAGAATATTGAGGACGTTGAGATCATCAGACAAGTCGGATTCGACACCAGTCCTCTCAGCCGACGAGGATTCGACGTGGTGAGCATGATGTTTTGCATGCACTATGCCTTCGAGACGGAGCAGAAGGCTCGGACCATGCTGCGCAACGTGGCAGGCTCATTGAAGAAGGGAGGTCGCTTGATCGGTTGTATCCCCAACTCTGACGTCCTTGGTGACCACGTTCGCAAGTTCAATGAGCAACAGGAAGAGAAAAAGAAGAAGGCCGCAGAGGAACCGCCGCAAGAAGCAGAGGAAGGCGAATTGGAAGATGGCGAGGCAGACCAGTCGGCAGAGTGGGGCAATTCCATTTATCGAGTCCGATTCCCGGGCAAGACACCTGCAGATGGCGTCTTCCGCCCGGCATTCGGTTGGAAGTACAACTTCTTCCTCGATGAAGCTGTCGAAGAGGTCCCCGAGTATGTTGTGCCGTGGGAAGTCCTCAGAGCTCTTGCTGAAGACTACAACCTTGAGTTGCAGTACCACAAGACCTTTATGGAGATTTGGGACGCGGAGAAGGATGACGAGACCTTGGGCCCTTTGAGCGAGAGAATGGGGGTTCGGGAACGCGGCGGTGGACGTCTCCTTGTTTCACCAGAGGAGTTGGAGGCGGCGAGCTTCTACACTGCTTTCTGCTTCTACAAGGTCTAAACAGGGGGGAGTTGGCACTCTACCTCACTTTTCAGCATCTCTCGAATCTCCATTCTCAGTTTCCGCAACAAACCAACCAACATCATCAAACAAGACGTACCGCGCATGGTACGCGACTACCACGCTTCGCGCGCAAGCAAGTGTCGGATCAAAACAACCAAGATATAGATATGGCGACACGAGGCACTGTGTCGTCGGGGTTTGGCGTCTATTTACAGTATGATGGTATCATCACTTTTGCTTCGGCAACGCGCCTTCCTCCACCTGAGTCGTCAGCCGCAGTCGTCTCAGTTTTGGATCTTTTCGAGTTGATCCCTGAAAAATTTTCACCCTCCTTCCCCCTTCACTTCCTTCACTCCTTCCTTCCTTCCCTCAAATTCCATTGCTTGCTGCCTGATTCATCGACCTTCCCTCCTTCCTGCCCTCCTTCCTGCCCTCCTTCAGGCAACTGATTTTGTTTACCTGACCTACTTTCTCTCACACACAACTCTGGAAATTCATTCTTGTTTTCCCACCTTCTCAAAGTTCACTTTTCCTTCCCCATCCCCAGATCTATCGGTGATTAACCACGCGGTTCATCATTTTTGCTCATTCCTCCTCATTCCTCCTCATTCCCATCATCAATCACCCCGAAGCCACAAGGAGTTCACTCATTATGGCGGAAGACCCTGATCCTTGGGCTTCTTGGACTTGGCCCGATGACAACAGCCAGGTGACTTCCTTTGAAGCTCCCGATGCGAAGAACGGTGAATCGGACGCTACGACTGAAGCTCCCGATGAGAAGAACGGTGAATCGGATGCTACGATTGAAGCTCCCGATGCGAAGAACGGTGAATCGGACGCTACGACTGAAGCTCCCGATGAGAAGAACGGTGAATCGGATGCTACGATTGAAGCCCCCGATGAGAAGAACGGTGAATCGGATGCTACGACTGAAGCTGATACAGGCGGCTGGCCTACTGATGAGAACGAGCCCGATACAGGCGGCTGGCCTACAGATGAGAACGAGCCTGATGTGTGGGACAAGAAACCGCCTGCTGATCCCGAGCTGCCCCCTCGCATCTTTGTCGACATCGAGCATCGGATCATCGGCAACGACAAGATCCCCAAATTCCCCCCCCCTCCCGAGGCTTCTTCAGTGGAGGAAACAAACCCAGTTGTTACTCTCGACAAATGGAGACCTGTATACGTCCCTACGGCGAAAGTTTCAGATATCGGCGCCCTCTCAATCGACACGCAGCAGATCATTTCGAGCATCCGTGACACTGCTCTTGAGTCGCTCAAGATGCGCTGCCTTATTGGCACGAAGAAGTCAATCACGGGATATTGCGACACGACTCTCACAGCCGCGGGAGCGGACTCGATTGGCAACACCTACACCTTGATGTCTGTGGTCAACTCTCAAACCCTCCCGGGTGAGATAAGATTTACGCACAAGTTCAAGCGTCACGGGAAGACGTTCATCAGCGCTCGTCTTAAGATACCCATCCACGCTCTTTGCAGAGTCCCCAGCCTGACATTCTTCGATGATCAGAATAACGCTGCACAGATGGCGTTGATGGGAGGCATTGTCCGACTGCGCGACCATGTTGCAATCAACCTCATCGCCGACAAGTCCCAGGTCTGGTCAGCTGTCCTCTCTGACAAGTCTTCAGATGCCGCAACTCAGAAGCGTCTGACCGAGTGGATCGACAACGTCATCTGTCAAGACACACAGATGCAACTCACCATCATCCTCCCGCCGAACCAAGCCAGTGTGAGTACCTATTTCAACAGGCTTGTTGACGATTTCAAGCGGTTCCAGCAAATCCCGCGCGCGATCTGGGTCAACGCAGATGCGTACTTCAAAGACCCTAAGAACCCCCGGCAGCTCAATTGGTCAACGATCCAGGTCGGAAACCCCAGACCCGATCTACCTAATCCGGCACACATCATCTTCCAAGATGACACTACTCGTATGCTGGCTTTGCAATTGTCGGCCTATGAGGAGTTTGAGATTGAGAACAGCGCTGCTGCTGAGCTGGAAGATATGCCTATCTCCAATGTCACCATGTTCCCTGATCGTCTTTCACAGTGGAACGATGATAAAACCAAAGACTACGGTGTCCCACCCGATGGAACCCACCAACGCTATGTGGCAGTTCTATCTCAGCTGACAGATTCGCAACGCGCTTACATGCCCGAGCTCAACTCTCCATTCGCAGTCCGTTTCGAGAGTTCCCTCGCCGTACCCTCGCCGCGTCAACACCCAGTCGAGAACGCCGACCCTCTGGCTTTGAAGCGCCGTGCCCTGCGTCACCTTATAGGCATCGCTAGAGACCTCTCACACGAGTGTGACACGGAGTCTTACAAGGCAGCGGGAGAGGTCAAGGACAATGCCAGAGGAGACCGCAACGGCGAGATGGCCATCGCTATCGCGTCCACCTTTCCGAGTCCCCTCCCGAACTCTGTCCGAGGTGACATCAGTCCTAAAGTAGCGGACGACGATGCAACACTGATGATCGCACTTTCACATGTCGACAAGTTCTTCCCCATTCACTCCGACCGTGATGAGTGGATCGAAACTCTCATGAAGACCTTCGAAGGCATCTCTCTCGTGGTTCCGTTTGCACGAACCCCGCCCTCTTGGCCCGCTATCCGTATCAGGCCTCCAAGAGGTGCGGATGTTGATCACGTCTACATTGCACTCCGCGTTCCGTGTGAGCAAGGTTGGCCTGAGCCGTATGCGGTCCCTCCGATGCAGTTCAAGACTCATACGATGCCCATCGGTGGTTTCAAGGATGTACAGGACTATGCAATCGACCATGAGCTTACCTACACCATCAATCTTGTACTCACGCCCAACGACAAGACCACTAAGGCTGAGATGGCTGCTGTGTCGACAATGGCCACTGCTTCTGAGGGCACATTTCACAACACGCTCTGGCAGTATACCGCTAAATTCCAGACAACCCAGTCTGTCAATATCATTGACAAAGTTCCCGCGCTGGCAGATATCTTGAAGATCCCTAAGCCACATAACATCATTGCCAATTCTCTCAAGGAATGCCCTGCTCGTCTCTGCGCGTACATCGGTGTTCCTGGTTCGGGCAAGACAACATTTGCGCTGCGGGTGTTGGCTCTGATGGTCGCGAATGCTGGCTCCAAGGCTGTCTGGTCTGTGCATTCCAACGAGCTTTGCAATGATGCTGTGCGCAAGATCCAAGCATCCCTTAAAGATCCCAAGGGGGTCGTTCGCCTTCACACCCTCAGGGCAACAATCGCTGCTCTGACCGGCCGATCTGCACAGCCGCAGCCGCAGCCGCAGCCGTCGCATCCCTCATCGAAGCTCTCCGCTGCTGAAGAGGTGGTCTCTCAAGCCATCGCCACCGCTGACCGCGAGTCTCTAAGCCAGAACGTTCTCGAAGACGGCGACTCCCTTGCAAACTACGCGCTGTACTTTGCACAGACTCAAGGACTCGAGACCTTCCATACATTGCTGGAGCTGCGCGACAAGCACAGGTTGACTGACGAAGAGAAACTTCGAGCCAATGATGACGCCATGCTACTTCTCAACACAATTCTTCCTGTGATCCGCGTCCTTGTCGGCACCCCGTACGCTGTGTCAGAATTTGCTCGCGCCACAAAGCTGGAGCATGACAAACTTGGTAAATGGTCTCCTAATCTCATCGTTATCGACGAGGCAGGACGCATGCCGGAGTCGCAGTGGTGGATGGCCGTCGCCTATCATCAACCCGAGCTCATCATCACAATGGGCGACCCCAAGCAGTTCAACCCCATGTCTAAGAGTCTCGACAGTCATGGCCATGAGAATTGGCGCTCGACATTCGGACCCCAGCGTCGGATGCCTATCATCACTCGCGCGGAGAAAGCAGGCGGCTTGGCAACTTCTCTGATCACCAATAACCGCAACCATGGTCGCATTGCAGAATGGGCTGCAGACGCCATCTATGGCGGACGTATGAACATCGTGAAGCTGAGAGGTCCTGTGGTTGACTTCTTCCGCGATCTTGGTCGTACTGCTCTTCGTCTTGATGAGGCTACGTGCAACAGTTTCATGGTCAACATTCCCGAGGGAGATGAGAAGCTGGTTGGCGTTTCCTATGCCAACGTTGCAAATCGAAACTATACGTTTCACCTCATTTTCCAGTTGTTCCAGAGTGGATTCCCCTCCACCCTGGATACTGGTAAGCAGGGAAATATGATGGTGATCTGCGGATATTCCAGCCAGCTTGCTCTTTATCAACAAGAGTGGGCCAAGTTTAAGGCGAACGCTTTCATCAAGGACAATGTCTCTTTCCGTACTGTTGATGACTCGATGTCTGCGGAGGCTGATATTGTTATCTTCGATACCGTTCGCTCTCTGTTACTGGGATTTCTTCCGCATGCCTCTCGCATGGCCGTTGCCGCCACCCGAGGCTGCGGACTGATGATCACCCTCGTCAACGCAACCAGCTGGACGAAGAGAAGCGAAGGAAGTCAGGCGCAGTCGAATGCTGCACGTACCAACTTGATGCTGAATTACTGGAACTGGCACTTCGCTCGCGGCGCCATTGCCAACACGCGCCCTGAGCAGAAGGGATGTGGCTTCAACCTGATGTGCACGAAGTGCAACTGCCCTGGCCATGAAGACTACAATTGCGGCATCCAGATCAAAAAGCGCAAGAATGACGAGCCCGCGCGGGTAAAGAAAGTTCGACCGTGCAAGCTGTGCAAGGGATCTCATCACCACATCTATTGTGATCAGGAGATCCCGAGTTCTGCTTTCTTCGACGAGACTCGTCTTCGTCCTAGCACCACCGCTGCCATCAACGACGATGCAGACCAAGAAAACCCTGATGATTCTGTCCATAACGTTGAGGTTGAGGTCACTAATGTCGCCACCGGCACTCGTCGCAAGCGTTTAGAGATCACGGGTAACATCGATCCCGCCACAGTCACCAACAGCAATGCGGCCCTGAAGTTGGAGATCCGTTCTGCCACTCGCGCTAAACTGGACACCGCTCGAGCCGCTCTTAGCGAGCATCACCCAGAGCATCCCATGCTTGCAAAGCAGGATGCAGGAGAAGGCGTCATTGTGAACAAGAGCCAGGCCATTGGTCGAACTGACTTGGAGGATGACGATAGCGATCAGGGAGATGGTGAGGAGGAACGGGAGCATGGCAACGGCGGTCAGGGAGATGATCAGGGAGGAACTCAGTGGTAGAGAAGTAGACTGGCATTGGACTGGTTGCGATGACTTCATGTATACCCTAGTTTAGCTTGCAACGAATCGATTCACAATTGGGATTCGAAAGGTACTGGATTAGGTTGGCTCACTCCGCCGATGCCTGGCCTCATATGGTGCTTAGATTTGGACCATGCCAACAAGCACACGCCGTGCCCTCTCACGAACTGAATAAACTGTAGTATGGATACTAACAGCAAGCAAAGAGTTCTACCGCCATGGTCGAAAGCCTGCTTCGGTAACTAAAGCCGCAATGTACGAGTCAAGATAGATACTGATTGACAGCTCTTGAAGTCTCGGTGAAGATTGTATGCCTAACAATCCTCTCAAGTGTTGTTCTGCGAAGGAGTGAGGTTGATCTGCTAGTCACCTCCTGACTCAGCAGAGTACCAGCTCCAGAAACAACGTTTCAACCCGCATCGATAAGCTTTCCCCAGATCGTCCCAAGGGTCACTGAAACAAGTTGCCCCTGCTTTGTACCCGTCGGCAAGCAGCAAGTGTCGATCCTTCCTGGCATCATGGTTCTAATGCCCACCTGTTGATCTATGTTTTTTTGATACATTTTGAAAGGAGTGTATCAGCCTCGGCTCATTCCACAACACCATGATGGGGAAGGTTCTCCCAAGGGCACGGAATCTTGAGGCACAACCAAAGCCGGTCCGGGCCGTATGTGGTCTTTGCTATAAACCCCGTCTGTGCCACTGCCTCATCACGCAGTCAATTTGTCACTTGGGGATACGGATGGTGCGACGAAGAATGTCATAAGACGGAATGTTCTTTTCGTTCTCCCAAAGCCTATGGCCTATGATGGACGTTTATGCTGTGAGGCAATTACACAAGAAGAAATATCTCCCCGCGCCTCCTTGATCCAAACGCCAGGACTTGTTAAAACGAGGTTTGGTCGTTATCATTAAGGACGTCGTTGGAAAGCAGGATGGGAAAGGACCATCCGGAGTATCATGAAAAAGCAATAGGATCCTACGGTGACGTTTGCTCTCCTCCACTATCCCCTTTGTACCTGCATCAGGTATGCATTTTGGTTCGATCATGCTTCGAGTGGAAAGCATTCGGGTATTCAGGTTTGCACCAGGTTCGCGTTCGAGCCGTCGATTCAGCTTACTCACGCATCTTCACGTAGTTGCTGGGGAAGATGCCGTGTCTCGTTCCGATCATGCCGGTCCTGTCGTCAATATTAGCTTTACACCCGTAAAAGCAAGAAATACCCTTTCACATACCACCAATCAGTCTCGCTCTCGGTCTTCTTCAGCACCGTGATAACGTCGCCCTTCTTGAATCCTAGATCACCAGGCTGGTCGGCATCAAATGTGAACAGCGCAACGGCCTCGTTCTTCTTGAGCATGGCCGCCTTGCCAGTGAAGTTCGGCTTGGGAGCAGCCGGTCTACCAGGAGGACCCGTCTTCTGGTCGTTGAGGCCGAAGTTGGGCGATGGGTTGTCTCTGTAGACGTAGTCGTCATTGCCTCTTGAAGCAAATGTGTTGGAGCGTGAGACTCCAGTGTTGGAACGCGAAACTCCACCGAAACCGCCTCCAGCAGGTCTATCATAGACATCGTCCTGCCATGTGCTGGATCTCTTGGGTCCTCCAAACTCGCTGGCGCCACTATCTCCACCACCAAACACACTGCTGCGGTTGTTGTTTCCAAACTCTCGGCTGTTGTTGCCGTTCCAATCGTCCTGGCCCTGGCCCTGGTCGTAAACGGGAATGTCGTTGTACATGGAATCGTTAGCCTGACCGGTGCGGCCGGCATTGAAGGCGCGGGAGTTGAGGATGTTCATCAGGGGCGCGGCCTGGGGCGGGGAGCGGACGCTGCCGGTCAAGATCTGGGCGGCGGTGTAGCGGGTGCCGTACAGCTTCTCGTTGGCGTCGCGGCGCTCGATGATCACGGAGCCCTCCAGCGAAACACCGGCGAAAAGACCCTTGGTCTTGGAGTAGGAGAATATACCGGCAACACTCTTCAGGGAAGCGGCACCGGCGGCCTCGGCGTTGCGGCCCACGGGACCAGCGGCGATGGAAACGTTTCCACCAAGCGTAAGCGAACCAGCCTGCGCGAAGGTCTTGACGGCACTCGCATCGTTCAGAATAAAGACGAAGTCGGTCAACTCAAAACCAATCTGACCACCAAATCCCGCACCTGCCGTGCCGATAGCGCTTGGCGCACTCCATGATCCATCAGGCAGTCGCGAGACAACGAGACCGCTACCGAAGCGACCAGAACCGAGGAAACCGGCCTTGAGGACGGTGAGAATCGCGAGACCCTAATTACACGCATGATCTGTCAGTATCGCATCCGCTTGGGTGTGGTTATCGTGAGCGGTGGGAGGCCTCTGGGCACCGAATGCGCCAAGGCAGGCGGGGATGGGTAGATCGCGGGGTGGGAAATATGGCTCACCTTCGCGTTGGCAAGGACGGAGGGAGGAATGATCTTGTCGGGGCTGAAGGCTTGACGAGGGTCGATAAACGACGTCAGGATCTTGCCGCACTTTTTGCATTCCGCTATTATGGTTCGGTCAGCTCATCTGTTGCGACTCAATAGGACGACGGATGCGATGGTGCAGCGGGATCACCGGCACCAGCCAAAAATTAATGGGTGGACTTACACGCCATAGACGACGGGAGCGGGTTGTGGAGGCCCATGCTGACGGTGTACCGAGGTGTCGAGAGAGGAATTACGATTGAGTCGGACGTTGTTCCCTCTAGATTCGGTTGGGGAGGAAGTAGGAGTGGGAAGGTGTCGAGGATTGGAGGTGAAGAAAGGAAAAGATGAAGGAGAGATACAAAGAGGTGAAAGCGTATGCCTAGGATTGCGATTAGGGATTCGTAGGTCAGGTAAGTATTACGGATACGGTTTCTGGGGGATCCTCCCTCGCCCACTATTCCCGCCGCAGCTGCGTGCACCCACACCTCCACGTAATTAACGATTTAGTGGGGTTGTGCCGCGGGGGTTAGCAGCGTGTCTTGTTTGACTGTTCGAATGCAGCAGGTCTTAGGTACTTTAAGGTAGGTAGGGAAGCTGCTTTTATCTTGTCTTATCGCGCGGGATTCGGGCCCCGTCTTTCCGAGGCACTTTTACTACACCTCCTCAGCCTCTTCAATAGCGAACGTCGTTCCATATGCACACGTCTGCGCTTACGAGTGGAAGCTTATCACCTGCTTCCTTAACTACCTAGCTCCAAGGTCGAGTCCAGGGCCGAAGTGAGTGCCAGTTCAGTATCAGGAGTTTCAGGAGCTGTAAAAATGAGCGCAAACAGAACCTTGGGAAGCTGCTCATGGGCTACCCACCTAATTGCGCTCTAGCACATGTCCAGTACAGCATCAATAATTAGTTCAACCCAATTCAGCACGGGAGGTGGAGGCTGAGCGAAGAGACTTATAGTTAAAGATAAGTTTAAGATTAGTAATAAAAACGTATAGAGTATAAGGGACTCCCACGGTACGATACTTTAAAAAAATTACTAATACTTATAAAAGTAATATAAAATACTTCCTTTAATTAGGTTAATACGGTTTTAATTAACAGAGCTACGACTAAAAAAAAGAGAATAATATTAATTAAATTAAAAAAAATAAATTTCTTAATCGTTTTATATTATTATATATAAAAATAAATTATTAAAAAGGCTTTAGTTTAATTTTAAAAAAAAATATATATAATTAAAATGAAAATCCGTATTATTAAGCTCCTATCTCTAATTAGGGCCCTTTTTTTATATTTTATTTTAATTAGCTCTTTTATAAATCCTTAAACTTAATTAGCTTTAAAAAAGACCGTTAGGACTAATCGCCTTACCTTATTTTAATTATTTTTTAATTTTTTTTTTTTAATTTTTTATAAAAAAAAATTATTTTAGATTAGTCCTAATTACTATATATAATTAATTATTTTAAACCCTTTATTTACTCTTTTTTTTTATAATTATTTTTTTTACTTTTTTTATTTTTTTTATTTATTCTATTTTTTTTATTTAGTTTTTATCCTATTTCTTCTTAGTAATCTCTCGATCTTAATTTTTATTATTCTAATTCTTTTTAACTCCTTTTATTAATAATAGTATTTAAAAAATATAAGCTAGAGTCATATATATAATTTCTATAATTAGGTTATTATACTAATTAACTTATTATTCTTTTATATTTTTATTAATATCGGCTTTATTTATATATATATTACTATATTATGAGAGATTTTAATAAAATTTAGCTAGTTTTTAACGTTAATATTTACTATTTTCTTATATAGTCTAATTATAATTAAAAAGGGTATATTTAATAGCTTTTTATTTTAACTAGACCCTTAGTATTTTAATTAAAATCTTTATAACGGGGCTATCCCCGCCCCTAATTAAAGTATTTAAAAAACTACCTTTTTAATTACTTAGAGTAGCTTTATTAAGAGCTAAGTTAGAACGTAGTAATAACTTAAATAGTAATATATTTAATAAAAACTACGTAACTTAATATGTTTTAGGGGTATTAATTAAGTATATAAATTAATTATTAATAATAGCGTCTAGATATTAATTAATAACCTTTATTAGCTTAATTATTTATAAAATCTAATTAAAGTTATTACTTATTATAAATCTTTAAGTATTTTTAAGTATTTTTAAAGATCGAAAGAGTAAAATTAACTTTTTAAGAATAATAAGTTCTTAATTAAAGCTCTTAATTATATCCTTAGTTTTTTAAAAATACGTAGGATTTATAAAAGTATAATAATTATAATTACGTAAGTTATAAATCCTTAGATCTTATTTAATAAATCTAAGGCTAAGTAAATAAGAACCGGACTTCTAAAGAGTTAATACTTTATAAGCGTTAGTTATAACGTAATTAGAGTTATTTAAATTGATATAAGGCCTATTTTTAAAGTCCTAATTATATATTATATTTTTAAACCCCCCGATAGAGTAATCCGCCGGGGCCGTATTATATACTACGTATTAAGGAAAACTAGTTATA